ACAGTCAAAGAAGAAATAATACCTATTCTCCTGAAGCTGTTTCAAAAAATAGAAACAGAAGGAAAGTTTCCAGACTCATTCTATAAGGCCAGCATTACCTTGATCCCAAAACCAAAGATCCCACCAAAAAGGAGAGTTACAGACCAATATCCCTGATGAACATGGATGCAAAAATTCTCACCAAAATACTACCCAGTAGGATCCAACAGTACATTAAAAGGATTATTCACCACGACCAAGTGGGATTTATTCCTGGGCTACAATTTGGTTCAACATCTGCAAATCAATCAATGTGATACACTATATAAATAAAAGAAAGGACAAGAACCATATGATCCTTTCAATAGATGCAGAAAAAGCATCTGACAACGTATAGCATCCTTTCTTGACTTAAACTCTTCACAGTGTAGGGATAGAGGGTACATACCTCAATATCATAAAAGCCATATATGAAAAGCCCATAGCAAATATCATTCTCAATGGGGGAAAACTGAGAGCTTTTGCCCTAAGGTCAGGAACACAGCAGGGATGTCCACCATCACCACTGCTGTTCAACGTAGTACTAGAAATCCTAGCCTCAGCAATCAAACAACAAAAAGAAATAAAAGGCATCCAAATTGGAAAAGAAGTCAAACTCTCACTCTTTGCTGATGACATGATACTCTATGTGGAAAACCCAAAAGACTCGACCCCCAAATTGCTAGAACTTATACAGGAATTTAGCAAAGTGACAGGATATAAAATTGATGCACAGAAATCAGTTGCATTTCTATACACTAACAATGAGACATAAGAAAGAGAAATTAAGGAGCTGATCCCATTTACAATTGCACCCAAAACCATAAGATACCTAGAAACAAACCTATCCAAAGACACAAAGGATCTGTACTCAGAAAACTATAGAATATTCATGAAAGAAATTGAGGAAGACACAAAGAAATGGAAAAACGTTCCATGCTCTTGGATTGGAAGAACAAATATTGTTAAAATGTCTATGTCACCTAGAACAATCTACAAATTCAATGCAATCTCTATCAAAATACCATCCACTTTTTTCACAGAACTGGAACAAATAATCCTAAAATTTGTATGGAACCAGAAAAGACCCCAAATAGCCAGAGGAATGTTGAAAAAGAAAACCAAGGCTGGAGGCATCACAATTCCAGACTTCAAGCTCTATTACAAAGCTATAATCATCAAGACAGTATGGTACTGGCACAAAAACAGACACATTGATCAATGGAACAGAATAGAAGACCCAGAAATGGACCCTCTACTCTATGGTCAACTAATCTTTGACAAAGCAGGAAAGAATATCCAATGGAAAAAAGACAGTCTCTTCAACAAATGATGTTGGGAAAATTGGACAGCCACATGCAGAAGAATGAAACTGGACCATTTTCTTACACCATAGACAAAAATAGACTCAAAATGGTTGAAAGACCTACATGTGAGACAATAATCCATCAAAATCCTAGAGGAGAACACAGGTGCAAGCTCTTTGACCTCGGCCACAACAACTTCTTGCTATACACGTCTCCGAAGGCAAGGGAAACAAAAGCAAAAATGAACTATTGGGACTTCATCAAGTTAAAAAGCTTTTGCACAGCAAAGGAAATAGTCAACAAAACTAAAAGGCAACCTACAGAATGGGAGAAGATATTTGCCAATGACATATCAGATAAAGGGCTAGTATCCAAGATCTATAAAGAACTTAGCAAACTCAATACCCAAAAAACAAATAATCCAATCAAGAAATGGTCAGAAGACACAGACATTTCTCCAAAGAACACATCCAAATGACCAACAGACACATGAAAAAATGCTCAACATCACTTGGCATCAGGGAAATACAAATCAAAACCTCAATGAGATACCACCTCACACCAGTCAGAATGGCTAAAATTAACAAGTGAGGAAATGACAGATGTTGGCAAGGATGCAGAGAAATGGGAACCTTTCTTATACCATTGGTGGGAATGCATGCTGGTGCAGCCACTCTGAAAAACAGTATGGAAGGTCCTCAAAAAGTTGAAAATAGAGCTACCCTACGAACCAGCAATTTCACTACTGGGTATTTACCCCAACAATACAAATGTAGGGATCTGAAGGGGCACCTGCACCCCAATGTTTATAGCAGCAATGTCCACAATAGCCGAACTATGGAAAGAGCCCAGATGTCCATTGACAGTTGAATGGATAAAAAAGATGTGATATCTGTATGTAATGGAATATTACACAGCCATCAAAAAGAGAAGTCTTCACTTTTGCAATGGCATGGATGGAACTAGAGGGCATTATGCTAAGCGAAATAAGCCAATCAGAGAAAGACAATTATCATATGGTCTCATTGATATGCGGAATTTAAGAAACAAAACAGAGGATCATAGGTGAAGAGGGGGAAAAATAAAGTAAGATGAAACCAGAGAGGGAGACAAACCATAAGAGACTCTTAATCATAGGAAACAAACTGAGGGTTGTTGGAGGGGAGGTGGGTGGGGGATAGGGTAACTGGGTGATGGACATTAAGGCAGGCATGTGGTATAATGAGCACTGGATATCATATAAGACTGATGAATCACAGACCTGTACCTCTGAAACCAATAATACATTGTATATTAATTAATTGAATTAAAATAAAAATAAAAACAAACAAAAAAGATTTTCTAGATATTTTGTGATTACCCAATACAAGGTCGATATATAAATATCAATTTTATTCCTATATATTACCAAAAACAATTGTAACTGGACAATGGAATTTAGAATAGCATAAAAATATGAAATGCTTAGGGATAAATGTATTCAACGATGTGCAAGATCTGTGCACTATACAACACTGCTGAGATAAAGACTAGAACACATGAAGAGACTTACTGTGTTCATGCATTAGAAAACTCCATAAAACTCCATTTTGTGAGGCGGCAGATATTTTGAAGCTTCAACTTGCTTTTACCCTGCCTTATCTCACACTCTCTTATGTTTGTGTCTTCAATGTGTAGCTCTGTGCCTGGCACCAAGTAGGTGTCCAGTGTTCATTGAGTAAACGAATAAGGATTAAATATATAGGGAATAAATGAATAAGTGCGGAAAGTAATCACAACTACCTAGGAGTGCTAGAAAAGACTTCCTTAAAGATGGACTAGGAATTCTATAAGCTGTAATGAAAGGAGGAACATTAGACATAGAAATCCTATGAGAAAACTGCTTTTGTCTGCGCTAGCTTGTGGTCGGTTTGTGGGAGACAGTGACTGTAAATGCCTTGGGCATATGGCCTGAGCTCGTGTTCTGAGGACCTTCTAATCTGTGCTAAGGAATTTGTATCTCATTCTTCAGAAAGGAGAGGGGGGAGGGCACATTATTTAGTAGGGGGGTTCCCTCATTCATGTTTTAAAATACTGAACACAGGGGTGCCTGGGTGGCTCAGTTATTAAGCGTCTGCCTTCGGCTCAGGTCATGATCCCAGGGTTCTGGGATTGAGCCCTGCATCAGGCTCCCTTTTCAGCAGAGAGCCTGCTTCTCCCTCTGCCCCTGCTTGTGTTCCCTCTGTTGCTGTCTCTCTCTCTGTCAAATAAATAAAATCTTTTTAAAAAATTTAAAAAAATAAAATAAAATACTGAACACCTGCTCTGGACCAAGGCTTGCGTTCAATACTAGCATAGAACTGGTAAAGACAGAAACCATCCCTGCTTCAGTTATAAAAGTGTCATAGCTAATGATGAAAACTATCTTTGTACCAGGCACTAAGTCCACTTCTTGTGTGTTTTTGTTTTTGTTTTCACAACAGCTCCGTTAGATGTTATTAGTTTCACTAAATGTGAGGGGTTAAAGAAACTAAAAAAATGAGACTCCCATTTAAATACAGACAATGACTAAAATAAATTTTATTAAGGTACCATTAAGAAAAAAATTAAATCACACATTTAAAATGTAGAGTTTAGGGGCACCTGGGAGGCTGGTCAGTTGGGCCACACTGACTCTTGCTTTCTGCTGGGGTCATGATCCGGGGGCGGGCATGAGAACAAGCTCTGGCTCCCTCTTCTCTTCCCCCTCACACCGTGCTCTCTCTCTCAAATAAATTAAAAAAAAAATCTTCATAAAATTCAATTAAAATTAAAAAAATAAAACATAGCGTTTAATGGGTTTCCACAAATGTATATATTTTGGTGTCATTACCAAGACATAAAACATTTCTATTACCCCAAAAGTTTCTTTTCTATGCCCCCCTCAACCATTGATCTCATTTCTAACATTACTGATTAGATTTATCTTTAATAGTGTTTCTTATAAACAGAATTATGCAGTATGTACTCTGTGTCTTTCTGCTTTGAATTATCATGATTCAATTTTGACTTTCAGCCATATTGTGGTGCCTATCACTAGTTCATTTTTATTATTGTTGAATTCAGAGTTTTAAGAAAGATATTAATCAAATAATCACCTAATTAAGTGGTTAATTCCAATAACATTAAGTTGACCAAAGGATAAGCACAAGTGAGGATATATTACCTTGTTTGTTGACAATTCAACCAAGATCATACATGGGGGCAGGGGTATATAAGATTACGATCGAGTTTGTGGAAAATAAATGTTATTAAAGGGTATCTTAAAAGAATCCTATGTCCTTATTTTACGTCCCTACTTTTTAAAAAAAAAAGTCAGTCCAGATGTAAAGTGTTATTCCATAGCCCTTTACACCTCCCCTTTACACACCGTAGAGAAAAGGGCTCCATAAGGCGCATGCGCCTGGCGGTCACGCGCGCGCCGGCACCCAGCAGGCCAGGCCCCGCCCATCACACACTTACTCCCACGAGCCCGGCCTTTGCAGCCCCATCTCCGGAGAAACTCCCGAGGACCGGGCTGCGACTGCGCAGTAGAGCCGGTGGGCGGGGCGGGGAAATGCGGTTGCCGGGATGTGGGGTAGCCACACAGGCCGGGAGCTGGAGCGGCGCTTAGGAGGCGCGGCTTTGCAGCGGGCCCTGGTCGGGAAGGCCGGCTCGCTTCCCTCAGCCATCGAAAATAAACTTTGCTGCTCTTTTCGGGGCGTTCTGGGGTCCGCCTCCCAGCGGTGCCGCGGTCGGCGAAGAGCTTTTGTGCGTCAGGGCTTCCCTCCTTCCTTCCGCCGGTGCGGGGCCTCGGCGCCATGGACGCCACGGCGCTGGAGCGGGACGCCGTGCAGTTCGCCCGACTGGCGGTGCAGCGCGACCAAGAAGGTCGCTATTCCGAGGCGGTGTTTTACTACAAGGTAGGGCAGAGGACCGCCGCACCAGGAGAGGCCAGGGGGCGGGTGCAGGTGCGGCGGCGGCCAGGCCTAGGCTTTGCTTTGCCCTCTTCCTGCTCTGCTGCTCTCCTTTTCAAGGGAGAGGCGACCCGGCTGCTGCCACTGTGGGGAGGTTTGGTCGTGGCTTGGGAGCCACCACTTCTCTGGTTACAGTCTTCAATGGCAAATGTCCACCGCCGAGCTACTTATGGCAGCAGTAGTTAGCTATGGGTAGTTAAGTGGCTAATTCTCGCTGTCACTTGGCTCTGATTTATGACTTGTGGGAAGTGGTCTCTGATACACACTAAAATAATGGACGTTCGTTGAAGAAAATAAGGTTTTAAAAAAGAATAACACGTCTCTTATCTTGGCATTTAATATATCTGTGCTGCTTTTTCTACGCGTATTTACATTCGCAGCTTTGAAAACATTTGAGTGTAATTGACATAGAATGTTACGTTAGTTTCAAGGGAACAACATAGTGATTCAACTTCTCTATACGTAAGACAAACTTGGATTGTACCGTTTATACTATTTTTAACCTGTTCTTTGTATTTGAGCTTTTAAAAACTCATTAAAGTTGCTTGTTTAGTATAGTCTTATTAATGACAGACGCATAGTATTCCATTATGTGAATGTACCATAATTTATTTACAAACTAATGGGCATTTAGGTTCATTCTGATTTTTCAGCATCTTAAGTCATGGTGCAGTTGATACCTTTATAGCTAATGCTTTACACATTTCTTGGCTCTTTCTTTTGGCTAAGTTACTGGGGGCGGAATTATTAAAGAATATGATCTTCCACAGTCCACTCTGCTCTCCAGTCCTGCGGATTTGCACATACACCCCTCCAGCTCTAACTATGCTCTCTGCTTCCTTGTGGAGGTAGCTGTATCCTCGTGATATTGTCCCCCCCCTTTTTTTTAAAAAGAAAAGAATGTCAGGCTTTGATAATAGCTGAGTAGTAATTTTTTATATAAATGTATATGCAGTCAGTAATGTATGATTTGTATTTCTCAGATTATTATTATATTGCCTTCATTTTATAATCTATATTTAGAGACTTTTGGTGTGTTTCAGAATCATTTCTTTTGGACTTTTTGAGGAAAGTTTCGTGAAGGTAGTATTTCTTTAAAAGTTAAAATTCTATGTGTTTGAGTTTTGTAAAATAACTGACAAATATTCATAGGTTAAAATAGTGCTACATAAAATAGCTTTGTGTAAAGCAAAAGAAAATACTACGCAGTGCCTCGTTTTACTGTGCAGTTGCATGCATGTGATTATGAAGAATTTTTTTATCCTTGAGAAAGTCAGAAAAGTGGTTGTGCTTCTAGGAACTGTTTATATAAAATTTACCAGATCTTTAGCATTTTTTGGTCTTCATTACTGTTCTATGAGGTTTTCTTTAATTGTCATTTTCAAATATAAATTAAATGAGTAAAATAAGATTGATACCAGCAATTATTTAGTTGGCTTTATTTCTTGTAAGCAAGATAATTATTTGAATGTCAGTATTTACATCACGGTAATTGGAGATGTGAAATATATGTATATATACTATTAGTATTTAGGTAATAATAGTACATAATATAAAATATTTAATGTTTACATGGAACACTACATCAAAAACTAATGATGTAATGTATGGTGATTAACATAACATAATAAGAAGAAATGAATCACTATGTTGTACACCTGAAACTAGTGTAACATTGTGTGTCAACTATATTCAAATAAAAAATATTTAAAAAAAAATGTTTACATGTAAAGTTATATTTTCCTCCCATGAAATGTCTGAGTTACAGAATCTGACAATATCCTCTTTCTTATTCCTACAGCCTTTCAGTGAATTTTCATTTCATTTCATTCAATTTCAGACTCTTTTTACTGATTTTGTTAAGTTCAGTGAAACAACTCCTGCTCCAACAACTGAATTCAAAACGTTGGATATTCAGTAGATGGCTGGCTTCTTTGGATCCAGACAGGCATCAGCCTCTGTGAAATGCACATGCTTAGGTTATTGCTGAGAAGGTGTTGTTACTTTGGAGAAATCTCTCAGTGGTCCTTCTCGCGGTAACATTGGTAACCTGTTATCCTAGAATGGTGATGGGGAGAGTGAGGCTCTTTCTTCCTCACTAACCACAGCATAACTGGCTGTGGGAGTATTAGAAAAACTGGATGATGAATCCAGGTTTTCTTAATTAAAGTAAGTTGATTTCATACAACTGAAATCTGCTTTAAAATATGTCACCCTTTGGCAATATTTTCTATGGAGAAAAAGATTTTCTTTCCACTGTGAGATATTTAATCTTTATAATTTTTTTTTAATTTTATTTTTAAGTAATCTCTACCCTCAACATGGGGCTCAAACTTAAAATCTTGAGATCAAGAGTCGCATACTCTACTAACTAAGCCAACTGGGCACCTTGACCTTTATAATTTCTTATAATCTTCCTTTGACATTTAATTTTATTTTATTTGTTATCATTAACCAATTGACTATTTTTATTATTATTAACCAGTAGTAATGAGTATTATTATTATTATATACCTGTCCTTATGCTTTTCAGGCTCAATTCATATTTTCAAGGTATATGATTTTAAGTCTGACCTATTGCATAAAGAAAAAGGAAAGCAAAAGACATGTGAGCTAAAGCTATTCTAAGAAAATGTTCATAATCTCTTGTATTTGAGTTTGTAAATTTTCAACAGTATGAGAAAATTGAGCGTATTGGGAACTGAAGAAAAGGTGTTGGAGGGTTATGTAAGCCACTTGGTACTGTCTTAAAGACATTGTTATTTTACAGTTCATAGACAGCAATAGTGAGTTACAAAGTGGTAGAGAAAATTCAGATTGTAATTCATTTGTTAGATTCCTTTGATTTTTTTTTCTTTTTTTCTTTTTTTAGGAAGCTGCACAAGCCTTAATTTATGCTGAGATGGCAGGATCAGGCCTAGAACATATTCAAGAAAAAATAAATGAGTATCTGGAAAGAGTTCAGGCTTTGCATTCAGCAGGTTAGTAAAGGACTACTAAACTTACCATTTTTTTTCCTTCTCTCTCATCACATCCTTTCCCCCACGTTTCTCTTTTTTTTTAAATTTGTATTATTGAAATATAGTTGACATATGGTGTTATATTAGTCCCTAGTGTTTCTCTTTCCTTTTCCTTTTCATCTTTAGATCTTGATCTTCACTCTTGCTGCTCATTCTTTTTTGGTAATCATGTCTTTAAAAGTCATAGTGTGGCAGGAAGGGAAAAATGAAGGAGGGGAAATCGAAGGGGGAGATGAACCAGGAGAGACTATGGACTCTGAGAAACAAACTGAAAGTTTCAGAGGGGAGGGGGGCGGGGGGATGGGTTAGCCTGGTGATGGGTATTAAAGGGGGCACATACTGAATGGAGCACTGGGTGTTATACACAAACAATCATGGAACACTACATCAAAAACTAATGGTGTAATGTATGGTGACTAACATAACATAATAAAATTAAAAAAAAAAGTCATAGTGTGGAAATAAGTGATCTGTGAGTAGAAACCTTATGAATAATATAGTCTAATCTCCTAATTTCCCAGGGGTACAGAGATAGTGAATTATATACATTCAAACTGTATCATTGTCAGAGTCAGGATTAGGACCCTGTTAAAGTCTACTTTTTAAATATCTGTCAAATTCTGTCTCCTGATATTAAGATTAAATGACTACAGTTGACCCTTGAACAACAGTGATTTGAGCTGTGCAGGTCCACTTACCTGCAGATTTTTTTTTGAAGATTTTATTTATTTGCGAGAGAGGGAGAGAACACGAGGTGGTAGAGGGGCAGAAGGAGAAGGACAAGGAGACTCCCCGCTGAGCAGGGAGCCCACCATACTAGGGCTCCATCGCAGGACCCTGAGATCATGACCTGAGTCGAAGGCAGACGCTTAACCGACTGAGCACCCAGGCGCTCCTACATGCAGATTTTTTTTACAGTACTGTAAATGTATTTTTTCTTCTTTATGATTTTCTTAATATTTTCTTTTGTCTAGCTTACTTTATCATAAGAATATAATATATAACACACATAGAAGATATGTGTTAATCAACTTAGGTTATTGGTAAGGCTTCCAGTAGGCTATTAGTAGTTAAGTTTTGGGGGAGTCAAAAGTTAATATGCAGATTTCTGTCAGTGCCCCTAAGTCCCCACATTGTTCAAGAGCTGTCTTTACTTCCCTTTAGTGTTAACGACTTCAGCAGTATGTTCATGGTCTCTTCTGTATCCGTATCCTCAACCTGAAGACCTTAGCTAAACTCTCTTTGTAAACCATATCTTGGAAAGCAACGTGTAAGTAGAGACCTGGAACAACTTGTATTTATTTTGGTAAACAGCATGGCAAATGTCATGAAACAAGTACACAGGCTTAGTGATCACAGTTTTGTTAGAGGTATGTGGCTGCTGTCAAAATCTGCTCTTGACATGGGTAGAAAAGAAAATGATCACCTACTGGCATTTTGTTTTAGAAATGCATTTTTCTCACTGATTTCTTTTTAACCCCTTTTTTCTGTGGCTATATAATGAAGCCACAAGCCTCAGCATTGCCTAATGGACTTTGTGTTACTTTTTACCACTCATTCTGAGTAGATAAGAGCAGTTATAAGTACATCATTAGGAAAAAGTAGATTCCACCATTGGATTTCTTGTTAGGACAATACCCTTAAGGATGGGATAGTTTAGTTTAAGACAGTGCCCAGAAATTGGATGTATTGAAAAGTGAACTGCCTGTGTAGCAGGGCCTCAACTGATAGAAAGTTATATTGATTCAGGTATCCAAAATACCATGTAATTCAAAGTAGCTCCATTTTCCCAAATACATTTATAAATATGATATTTATAAAGGTGATATTTAGGCACGGAATGTGACAGCTCTAAGCTCTTGAGGAATAAAGACTTGTCAGTGAAACAGAAATAAAGTTCAAGAAGGATTTTTAAAGCATAGCATACCTTAATTGTATTGCCAGCTTTCTGACCCATTATATTCAACCTATGGAATGTAATCCCTAGAGAATTAAATGGTTTCTTTAATTAGCATTTCAGACAACGTTTAAAGCAAATTTTGCTGATAGACTCTTGAGAGTTAAGTTGATTTCTGGGTGGGGAAGGGTAACCTAGTTTGAAATTCACCAGTGTAGTATAAAGACCTTAAGACCTAGAATTACAAGATCTAAATCGTAGCTTGTAGCTACAAAACCTAGGCTAGATCAGTCATTCTCAACTGGGAACAGTTGTGCACCTCGGAAGATTTTTGGTTTTTAGATTAGGGAGAAGTAGGGAGTATACTATGGCATCCAGTTAGGTAGAGGCCAGGGATCTTATTAAAAATCCTCCAATGCACAGGTCAGTCTACAGCAAAGAATTATCCAGCTGAACACGTCAGTAGTAGGAGGCTGAGAAACCCTGGGCTATATATTTTAATGTTTTTGAGCTTTCGTGTCTTCATTTTGTAAATGGTAGATTAGCACATACTTCAGAGAGGTGTTTCTGGGAGTTAAAGTTCTAAAAGGTCACCACCATACCTTTAAGAGACAAAATATAAAGCTTTTTTTTTTTTAATAACAGCTTTATAGAGATATAATTCATGTACCATAAAATTCACCTTACTAGAGTATACAATTCAGTAGTTTTTAGTATGTTTCCAGAGTTGTGCTACCATCACCACTATCTAATTTTAGAACATTTTTGTTGCCCCAAAAGAAACCTCTTATCCATTAGCAGTCATTCCCCGTTCCTCCCACCCTCTATCCTCTTAACAGCCACTAACCTATTTTCTGTCTCCCTGGAGTTGCCTATTTTGGACATTTCATGTAAATAGAATCATCTAATTTGTGGCCTTTGGGGTTTGGCTATTTTCATTTAACATAATGTTTTCAAGATTTATCCATGTTGTAGTATGTATCAATACTTCATTCCTTTTTATGGCTGAATAATAATGCCGTCATATCAATATACCATATGTTGTTTATCCATTCATCAGTTGATGGACATTGGCTTGTTTCCACCTTTTGGCTGTTAATGAATAATACTGCTTTGAACGTTTGTATATATGTTTTTGTATGGACATGTGTTTTTAGTTCTCTTTAATACATGCCCAGGAGTGAAATTGCTGGGTCATATGGTAGCTTGATGTTTAATTTTTCGAGGAACTGCTGAACTGTTTTCCGAAGTGGCAACACCATTTTACATTTCCATCAGCAATATATGAGGGTTTCATTTCCTTCACATCCTTATCAACATTTGTTATTTTCTGTCTTTTGTAATTTTAGCCACCCAAGTGTTGTAAAGGTGGCATCTTGGGTTTTGATATGCATTTCTCTGCTGGCTAATGTTGTTGAGCATCTTCTCATGGGCCAATTGGCCATTTGAATATCTTCTTTGGAAAAATGGTTATACAGACCCTTTGCCCATTATGTAAGTCAGGGTTCTCCAGAGAAAAAGAACCAGTAGAATATATATAAAGAGATTTTATATAAGGAATTGGCTCATAATGGAACCTTATTATGGAGGCTAAGAAGTCCCACACTCTGCAGTCTGCAAGCAGGAATGACCCAAGAAAACCAGTGGTATAGTTTATTTAGTCCAAGTCCAAAGGCCTGAGAAACAGGGGAGTTGATGGTGTAAGACCCAGTCCCAAGGGCAGGAAAAGACCAAAAAAAAGGCAGTCTGGCAGAGAAGGCAAATTCCTTCCTCTGCCTTTTTGTTCTATTCAGTCCCTCTGTGGATTAGGTGATGCCCACCCACATCGGGGAGGACACTCTGCTTTTACTACCAATTCAAAGGTTAATTTCATTCAGAATCACTCTCTTAGACATACCTAGAAATCATGTCTAGCCAAGTATCTGGGTACCCAGTAAAGTTGACACAAGTTGACATGATTACTCACCACACTCATTTTCAAAATTGGAATTGTCTTTTTATTGCTTACTTGTAAGAGATCTTTGTATATAATCTTGATACAGGTCCCTTGATATATACCTTTATATTAAAAACAAATACTTACTTTAAAGAACAGTAAAAATATGTGATTATTTAATCTGGACTCAGATGAATGGGAAACAGCAGGAACTTTGTCATCAGGGCCTAGGATATTGTATTACACGGTTGTCTGTACTGAAAAAAAATTTTTTTTAATTACCTTAAAACATAATTGAGTTTCTTTAGGCTTAACATTTTCTAAGTTTTTTTTGTTTTGTTTTTGGGAGTGGGACCAGGGTTATATAAGGAGGAGGACTGGTGTTTTATTTTTTTAAAGGAAGAAAGTGCTGGTAAGGAGAGAGAAAATCAGGGGGAATTTTTTTTTTAATAAATAATACATTTTTGGTATTTTTGGTCTCAGGTGTGCATTGTGAGATGAGTCAAAACAAGTGGGGACTCTTTTAGGCCTTAAAATTCAGATTGAAAGTCATTTTTTAAGGATTATTTTTTGACCTTGCTAAGTTTTTTAAATGAAAAATTATAAAGTTTTTATAAAGAGTATCTTAAATGTATTAAAATGGTGTGTTGTTTCCTGGATATATAAGTACATATATAGGTAATAATTTCATCTATACGGCTTTCTTCCTGTCCTAGTTCAGTCAAAGAGTGCTGATCCTTTGAAATCAAAACATCAGTTGGACTTAGAACGTGCTCATTTCCTTGTTACTCAAGCTTTTGATGAAGATGAAAAAGGGAATGTTGAAGATGCTATAGAATTGTATACTGAAGCCGTAGATCTCTGTCTGAAAACTGTATGTATAGCTACTAGTTAAATTTGGTGGAATTATGCTAAGAAATTTCTCTTACTAGTGAATTTTATTTAACAATTCCTTAAAAAAAATAATTACTGTATCATTATAAATACAATTGTTACTCATTAAAAGATGAAGAACAGAAAACTAATGACGGGTTTTACACCTCTCATTAAAAAATTGACAGTAGTAAGATTGAGTCATTAGGCAATGGTTTTTTTAATTATAGGTATTATTCTTTTAACCTGTTTAAACCCATATACCTAAAATTAACTCATTACAGGAAGAACTCATTACAAATCCATGAATTTAAAATAAACCTCCCCCTTCTTAAAAAATTTCTTACATTTAAAAATAAGGTGGTGTTTTGGGAGAGCTTTATTGATTTGCAGTGTAAAATCTATATGCTGAGTGGTTTTTACTGCTTCCTGAGGACCCTGGTTGGAACAGCTAAGTTTAGGGGCTCTAGTGCAGAAGAGCAGTGCATTTGACAGGAACGTGAGGTGAAATGATAGAGAGTGGTATTCTTAGTATTGTCAGAGGACTGCCTTTTTGTTCAGACAAATCATCTTGCCTGATTTCTGGAGGTAAGTGCTAGTCTCCTCAGTTTCCTGCTGCTCAGTTTCCATGGCACCATGTTCTTACAGTTGTGGTTCATTTACCACCTGAAGTGGTCTTCAGGTTTACCTCATTGTCAGGTTTTCAACACTGTTTTAAATATACCTTTAAGGGTGAAAACAAATTGTCATCTTTGTTTATTCTCTCATTATTTATATATATTATATATAAAATATATTGCATTATAAGTTTTTTGCTTAGAAATATGAATCAAGCAAAGAAAAAAATTATGCTTCAGAATGTCTGTCTTTCTTTCTCTTAAGTCTTACGAAACCGCTGATAAAACTCTGCAAAATAAACTGAAGCAGTTGGCTCGACAGGCACTAGATAGGTGAGTTTTGGTCACTCAAGTTCTTATACATGGATAGCAGTGAACTATGTTTCTTAAATTTGACAAATTTCTCTAAATATGTCATAGAGTTCGTAGTAACAAACCTCCATCTTTAAGCTGAGATCTAGAGCAAGTCTACCTTCTTCCTCTGGGTGAATTTATTCCTCTCTAGTTCCCTACTTTAAACTTAAGAAATAACAAATCAGCCAAGACCTATTTTATTTAGTTTTTGCTATGTGTGAAACAATGATTATGATGTTTGAAGTGGAAGACTTCCTTCTGTTGTGTAACACCAGATTTCTGGGGACAACTTCCAGAGAGCCTTCCAGAGCTACTATTAAAAGAGAAATTGAGAATGAGCTGGCCTATAACCATTCACATATCCCAAATTATATAGGGTGTGTAACTCCTTCAGCTCTTTGGTCAAATGTCAACTTTTCAAAAAAGCCTGCCCTAACCATTTTATTTAAAATGGAACCTCCTCCAGTATTTTCCTCCTGCTTACTCTATTCTAATATTCTTTCCCAAAGCTCTTAACCACTTTCTAAGGCATATGAAAGTTACCAGTTTATCATGTTTGTTATTAATGTCTGTCTTCCTTTGAGCCCCCCAACCCTCCATGTAAACTCTGTGACTGCAGAGAATTTTGTCTGTTTTGTTCAATGCTGTAACCACCTAGCAGAGTGCCAGACATACAGTATGTGCTCAGTAGGTATTTGAGAATGAACAGATTTGCACAAGAGGTATAATTATACCTCTTAAAGAGTGTTATAGATGAAGGAAAAGGATGGAAATTGCATTTTTAGTTACAGCATGAATTAATAAAATTACCTCCTTTTGAGGGTCTGACTTGGTACCAATACCACCCCCACCCTTCTTTTTTTTAATTGAGGTATAACGGTCATCCTTCCTTTTCATTGTCATCATCTAACATTTAGTTTGTCTCTCCTGAGTCATGAGGATATGGGCACTTGACACATAGTTATCTTCTCCATTTTCACTTTTTTCACGAGTCAGTATCAGAGGTGATGTTTAGATAACCCATCCAGTATCCTCTGAGTGCACCCTAAGCACAGAGGGGTGGGTCAGTCATTGGCTTCTTTGAGGGTCTGTTCAAAATTGTGGATCCTCTTTCTAGGAGAAGTGTACATAAAATTTTTTTTCATGTGCATTTTATGTAATTTCAGAGTGTTCACAAGATTCCTGGAGCTCATATGTGGACCTCAAGTTAAGAACTTCTGTTTTTTAGCTCGCTGAACCTTTGACAAAACAAAGCCAAAATTCCCTTGAATATCATGTGAGACATTCTATGATCAACTCTTGCCCCTGGTCTCCTCTCCTTCTGCCTCTTGTTTTTAACTTTTCATAGGGACTTCATCTATTTTTTTGGAAGTTATCTTAACTCGCTGCGCTATTTCATACTTCTGCACATGCTATTCTCTACTTAGAATGCTCCCTCACTCCCCAGGTGGACTTCTCTGCAGCTCAAACATCAATTCAGAATAACCTCCCCCGACTCACTGTCTTTTCTTGGTCATTAAGTTAATATCTTCTGCCGTGTGTTCACTCACATACAATACTTACAGCATCTGTCATTTTGGATGCAGTTGTCTTTCTTTCCCCCACAAAACTGTGAACACCTTAAAAGCAGGGATTGCATTTTATATTTTCTTGTATCCCCCTTACCTTGCATAGTATCTGACATGCAGTAAGTGCTCAGTTGCAATTGATACAGCAATAGTATCAATGTATATCAGTTGTGAAATACTTATTTTTGGAAGTAGCTTAAGAAGTGAACTGCTGACTGATGTATGAATCTTATCTACTAATTTTACATTAGGAATGCTTGACTGGTTCTTGAAGTAAATTTTATTTTCTGGAAAGCTTAAATGTGAGAAGAAAAACTAGAACAGTTTTTCTGTACCTCTTTCTATTACAGAGCAGAAGCATTGAGTGAGCCTTTAACAAAACCATTATGCAAAATCAAGTCAACAAATAACAAACCAAAGCCACCTCCAACGAGAGCACATTTCCCACTAGGGACTAGTCCTTTCCTTGAAAGACCTCAACCCTTTATAAGTCCACAGTCGTGTGATGCACAAGGACAGAGATACACAGCAGAAGAAATAGAAGTTCTCAGGTAAATCAGTTTATGATTCATTGTAATGAATAATTTTGTTAACATAACACAGGTAATTTAATTTTCATTAGGTTTGCTGAGTTGTAATCACATCTTTGTTATAGTGTGTTGTGCTTTTATTATGAAATTATAAATTATATTGTCGTATAGCCCCAACTTGAAATAGTTAAAATGTGTTATAGTATATTTTAGTGTTAGCATTTCTACTAGACATATGTTTTCCTAAAAATCCTAGCATACTTTAAAATCGAGCACTAAAGGTCAAACAGCAGAATAGAGCCATGGCAGACCACTCATCATCTATGCAGCTAGTAACCAGAGCCCTGATGGGGAGAAAGCCGTTACCTTGAAATAGTATAGGTCTGGGTCAGCAAAGGGAAGCCTGAAGTGGTGAATAGTTTTTACATTTCTTTAAAGCGTTATAAAAAGGAAAACAAGAGAAGAATATGTGACAGAGACCTCATTGCAAAGCCAAAACGATGTACTGTCTGGTCCTTTTTACAGAAAACATTTGCCAACTCAGGGTCTGGAAGCAGCCTCAGGGGATATTAAAAATGCAAACAACAAAGATGAGGAAATCCTTGTGCTTGCATTCTGAGCCCGTGTAGCTGGGCTATATCTCTGAGCCAGAGTGGCTGCTCTTCAACTGGAAGAGCTCCAACCTGCTGAGAGCTGTGCAAGTCATGTAGTTGCTCACTTGTAATTTCCTAAAATTGCGCTGAAATGGTTCCTTCGTTTGGAGCAGCCACCTGAAGGCAGTTTTCTTTTTTTTTTTTTTCCTACTGAAGATTTTAATTCTTCTAATGTGTCTTATCTTGCCCGGAAAAATTGCATATGAACCACCACAACACACAGCAAGACAAAGAAGGGTGGCTTTGGAGCTGAGAGACAGTAACAGTCCAACACTGAGGCTACTCAGCATCCATGTGCTCCTTTCTACACACCTTTGAATTTCATGCTACAACAAAAAAATAATATTTCTACCTAACAGAATTCAGCTGTCCTTCATACAGGTGAAAAGTTCTCATCCTCTCAGAAATGAGGATACACAGTCATTCATTTTGTGTCTTGGTGTCAGGGATACTTTCAATACCTTTAGTGCAGGCTTATCTTGAGACCATAGTTTAGTTGTGAAGGATGTAAGTCTTAAAGGAATGAGTCTTACAGAATTGAATTGAATCATTTATTTTTTGGTATTCAACGATTTTGTGAAAATTTTATTAAAGATAACAACATGAGGTTATTTTAATTTTATTAAAGTGCCATGCTTTGTGATATCAGTTTTAAATAAGATTGGTAGTTAAGGTAAACTTGAACATTTACTTTAGATTTTTTTCCTTGTGTTTTGTAGGACAACATCAAAAATAAATGGTATAGAATATGTTCCTTTCATGAGTATTGATCTGAGGGAACGTTTTGCCTATCCAATGCCTTTCTGGTAAGTAAGCACTGTTGTACTTTTTACTTCCGAGATGATTTTAATTTTTCAGTAGTTTTTCCATACTCTGAAATCCAATTTAGCTCATAGCCTTGAAATTAAAATTTGTAATAAAAAAGTTTGGAAGAGAGGTACAGCTGTGGGAAAAGATAAGGCAACATAGCAAGAGTATCTGTGTGGTCATTTGCCTGATAATGGGCACATATGGATCTCCTTTCGCCTACAATTAAACTAGCGCAGTACCTGGCACGAAGTAAATATTTGTCAGATTGGCATTTGAATCACAACAGCAAAGTCAGTAAAGAAAGAATGGAATGGGAAGTGGAATAGAATGATGACAGTGTCGTTATTTACTAAAAAAAAATCCAGTTCAAAAAAGGGTTAATTATGAAAATGTTGGTTAGCACAGTCTTCTGGAACAGTGGTAGCTTGTGTTAAGAGCCTTAAAAATGTTGTTTGGTTCATGACTCCCAGCTTCTTCTGATTCTGAGGAAATAAAAATTTGACTAAAGATGTGGTTAATAAGAGTATTCATCAAAGCATCTGTTACAGAAACAAACTAAATATCCAACAATGTGAGAATGAATAAAGAACGGCATATCTATGTTATTATAGTAACTGCTTATGCTACCAATAAAAAATACATCTTTGAAAGATGTAGGGAAAATGATTTCAATATAGTAAATTTAAAAATAGAAAATTTGGATGTTATATGTATATTTTTCTTTCATTTCATGTATTTATAGATAAGTAGAAAAAATGATGTAAAGGTACATGTCAGATATTTACAGTGGTTATCTCTAGATAGCAAAACTGGGTGATTTAACTTTTTAAAATTTTTCAAAATTTTTGCAATGAGCATGTTCTATTAGAAAAAAATCAGAGTTGATGTTTATTACATGCCAATTGTATAAAAGGCTCTGTAAAGAACAAAAGAGCTGCTTTCCCATTTTCTAGTGTTTTGCTGTTCTTCAATGGGCAAAAGTTCAACATCTAGCCATTGAGTTATCAACCTAATTTTTTTCACCCAGGCAACCATGTGATGCTAGTCACTGATTGGAGTCTGAAATTTTTATATCAAGAAGCTCTATATCATTAATCGATATTAAGGACACAGATTCTAGAGCCAAACTGTCCAGTTTTGTATGCTGTATGATGCTGGGCAAGTTGTTAAATCTGTCTCAGATTTTAAAATAAGAATAGAATCTAGCTCATAGTGTTACTGTGATCATTAAATTCGTTAAAATATAAAGCACTTAATAGTGCTTGTTATATTATTATATAATAAGGGTTAACTTAGAAAAATAATTATTTTTGTTAAATTCTAAATTATATTACAAAGTTTGGTTGTACATTTCAGATACTTCAAAATGTTTAAAATAAGCAAGCAAACAAAAAGTTTATCCCTTTGACCAGTAATTTCACTTCAGGAGACCAGTTTGAAAAAGGGTTCATAGATGTAGTCAAAGATTTATATAAAAGATACTCATCAATATTGTAATTGTGAAAGTGTGAATCAGTTATTCTAATACGTTCTTAAATGGTTATATCTGAGTAGGGATATAAACTTGTAGTTCCAATCTTTGTGTAATAAGATAAATCATGTTTTTAGTGCTCATACAACAGAACATCTATAAGAATAATACTATACAACCACGAACAGTCAAGTTTTCAAGAAATTAAATAACATGGGAAAATGCTTACAATATAATTAAAACAGTAAAATACGATACCATGCAAACGCCCTGAATTTAGGCATAGCACTTGTGACAGTTGGAATTTTACATATTTTGTATAAGATTACTTAGTGCCAGTGCTCCATACTGGATTATGTTTCATAAGGACAAAGACCATGTCTCTTTTAATTATGCTCCTGTGCCTAGTGCAATGTCTGGCATCTAGTAGATACTCAGTAAGTACTTGCTGAATTAATTAAATTTGGAGAAAAATCAAGAATAAATACTAGGTTACTCCAGCAAGATTTTTCCATTCTTGTTTTCTAGATTATTTTACAGTAGAATAATCAGAAGAAAAAGTAACAGTAAATATTTCAAAATTCAGAGGTAACAGACTGATGAAAAAGGGCTCCACAATTTATGAATCTTTGGTTAGAAAGATTGATTTTTAAACATTTTTTTTTCTATTTGGCTCATGTATTTTTAAATCTTTAAGCATATTGAATATAAACTATATTTATAAAATGTTTAATATCTTTAAAGTTATAAGAAAACACTGAATTTGATAACTTAGTGGTGACTTTTGAGAGAACAGATACTAAGGAATCTTGGATTTACTCTGTATTCTCATATGGCAGGTTAATAATACAAAGTAATTAAATTATAGATTTGAATTAACTTTTTTGTCCCCTAAAATTTTTTAAAATTTAAATTCTTCTAAATTTGTTCGGCTCACTTTCTATTTACAAATCAGCTACTGTTCCTACACAGGTACCAAAGTGTCACCAGAACACTAGTAGTTCTATGAGATGATCATCAAAAAGTTTGAGAAGTGTTATATACAATAGTCTAAGAAATTTACATAAACCGTGGTTTATTAAACATTTACACATGTCCTCTAATGAAGAAAATGTAGGAGTTTGTAGATCACAAATGACCACAAAAGCACCTTTCTCCTACTGTTAATATTTTTTTAAAAAAACATGTTATATTTGCCTCAGTTTGCATACCATAAACTTTGTATTATCCTAGAAATCTTACAAAACCTGAAGGCTGTTACTCTTGTTCTAGAAGAGGTTTGAGGAAGGATAGATGTTTTTTATTTTGTGCTAGACATCAATCTTAGAGAAATACCACACAGCATATTCCCAACACGCAGTCAGAGGGTAATGGATAAGAATGGTGGATCTGGCACCCGAGACCTGGATTCAAATGCCACTACTGCCACTTTTTAGCTATGTGACCTTGGCAAGTTATTAAATCACTTTTAAGCCTTTTCCAGAAATATTTGCTTTAATGGAATTGTTTTAAGGATTAAATGAATAGTGTGTATAAAATACTTCAGCATGATGTCTGGCATATGGTTATTAATGAATAATTAGCTACTCTCATTGTTTGCCTTGCAGAGAAAAGTTTGTCAAGAGCCATCGTAAGGATCTGTAGCTTCCTAGATCTTTTTGAATTGAATCAGCTTGTATTATTGTTAATGGTTCCATTTTATTGAAACTGAATTTCTTGAATATAATGATGCTGATGTAAACTTTTAAATTATATTCTTAAAGTAAATATAAGTGAATTTAAGTTGCTTTCCTGTTGCAGTTATAAATTTATATTTTTTTAATTGAGAAGGATGAGCACATTGACTGGATTCATGGTTAAGTGTAAAGAGCCAGATTTGACCAGAGCATTATTTTAGGATGATATAATAGCTATGATCATTATTCCAAAAAAATAAATAAATCTCTAGGAAATTTAATTTTGTTTTTGTGTCATTTTTAAAGATTAATTTTAGTAGTAGTAGTAGTATTTAATTTTTATTATTACCTCAGTGATAGATGGGGCAAGCTACCATTATCACCTAAACAAAAAGCTACATTTTCCAAATGGGTACGACCAGAAGACCTCACCAACAATCCTACAATGATTTATACTGTGTCCAGTTTTAGCATAAAGCAGGTAAACATTTTATATAATTTTATATGAAAGCTAACATTTTGAAGTAATTTGAATATAGATTTGGGGATTTTTTTTGTTTTTATTATATATTTAGGTGCATGAGTATAATTGGAAAAATTCTGCACACTTTGACTTAGACATACTGAGATAATATGAGTATGAATAACTGGTTTGAGCAATTACAGATTTTTATATAGACCCTGTTTATCAATATGTTCTTGCAGATGAGAAGGTTGAGGATCTCAGCCTCACCTTGATAAGAGAATAGATTTTTTTTTTAAAGATTTTATTTGAGAGAGAGCACACAAGTGGGGGAGGAGAGGGAGGAGTAGAGGGAGAGGGGATATTTCAAGCAGACTCCATGCTGAGCATGGAGCCTGACATGGGGCTCAATCTCATGACCTGAGCTGAAACCAAGAGTCGGAGGCTTAACCAACTGAGCCACCCAGGCACCCTGAGAATAGATATTTTTAAAAAAGGAAGCTATTAGACTTATTTAAAACACTTCAGTGGTGTAACAACAGTATGGTTTTATTGCAAACTTTATTCAGTTAAGTTTTGCATTGAATTACAGATGTCTTCCAGTTAGTATAAAAATAATGGTCCTGAAATACTATGATCAAGAATCTTTTGATGTGCCTATTCAGTTTAGTTGGTCATATTATAATAAACTTTAAAAAATGCCTTTAAATTATCATTAAAAACTTGTGGGTTCAGTAAGTATGCTTTTATCCATGTAAGAAATGTATCATCCATATTTATTCTGAATTTATTGAAATGTTTTAATCAGTTTTTCTAGGATTTGTTTGAAGAAAATATGTATTGAGTTGGCAGTATAGAATTTCTGTTTATTATTTTGGTATTCAACAACAGTTAACTCAGTATAAAAAGTTGGCTGCATAGGTGTAGTGCTTAAATATTGTGTAATGTTGAAATTACATTAGTGAATTAGTTAATATGTTAATAAATTCTTATTAACAGACAATAGTATCAGATTGTTCCTTTGTGGCATCACTGGCTATCAGTGCAGCTTATGAAAGACGATTTAATAAGAAGTTGATTACCAGGTAAAATTTTGTATTTGTCCCTTTAGCCCTTTTCATACGATTATCTCTTGACTAGAAATTAACAGCTTAAGTCTTATCTGCGTAGAAAGTGAAGAAGCCATATCACTTAGAATATTGTGGCCCTGTATGTTAAACAGATGATTTGTGAATGTGGAAAGATTTCCTAAAATAGTCTAAGAACGTATGCACATGTATTAATATATATGAAATTGGTATGTTTTGAAATAAAATCGGTCAAAGTAAAATCATATTTATAATTATAGTATACGGTAGCCACTAGCCACATGTGGCTATTGTATACTTGAAGAGGGCTAGTCTGAATCAAAATGGGCTATAAGTGTAAAATGCATCAAATTTTGAAAACTAAGTACAAAAAAATACAAAATTGGAAGATATCTCAAATTTTTATAGTGATTACACATTGAAATATGATTTTGGATAAGTTCGGTTAAATAAAAATTAAAATCTCACCTTTTTAACTTTTAATATGGCAACTGGAAAATATAAAATATTTCTTGTGGCTAGAACTGCTTTAGAATGTACCAAAATGTTACTGAAATAGCTTTTCTCTCAATTTTTTAAAGTTTTATTACTAAAGATAATTCATTGTAAAAATTAAGCATTATAATTTTTCATGCATCTTTTCCTGAGTGGTTTTTGTATAAGTCCTGAGATTACAAAGGTAAATTAAACAGAGACCTTAGTTTCAAGCTATTTGCCATCTTGGATAAATAGATCATATAAGTAAATAATATGTAGTGTAGAAGAAAATTGATACTGATAACAAATGTCTTACTAGATAATTTTGTGTAACTTTATCAGAATTGTGTTTATCTCTGTCAGAGTTGTAGTTAGTTGCCTTAGTTCTTGTTAATTGAAATGGTCTCTTCTTGAATCAGTGAGAGAAGATTATTTCAACTGGCAAATATATCCACTTAATAGAAAATTTATTAGAGTATATAATTTAAAACTTAGTATTTTTCAGAATATTGTGAAGTTTGTGCCCTGTTCTATGATCTCATAAGATATTTTCTTTATATTAAATAAGCACTTTGATTAGGGTGAAATTCTTTTCCTAGGCCTATCATAGAAAAATATTCTCATGTTTATTTTTATAAAATTGCCAAGACAATAGCATATGTCTAAATAAAATATAATATCCTGCATAGTAGTTTATATTGAATATTAATTTGGTATTTCAATATTTATTTTCCTTACAAAAGCATAATTTACCCTCAGAATAAGGATGGTGAGCCAGAATACAATCCATGTGGAAAGTATATGGTAAAACTTCACCTCAATGGTGTCCCAAGAAAGGTGAATAATACCTCTCCCCACCCCAACCCCTTCTCTCTCTCTCTTTTCCCCATCTTTGGATACTGAATAGAATCATTAAGAAATGTTATTTGTGTAAACATTTAAAAAGATTTTGAGTCTGGTGTTATGCATATTGCTACCAATAACATCATATGTTAATAATTAAAAATAAAAATTAAAGTTTTTAAAAAGTGGCTTTGGGAAATTTATAGAAAGTTTCAAAAAGTAACATTGAGCTAATGATTACTAATGCTTAAACTTTAATCTGCTAGCTCTTAATTGATTAAAAGGAAAAGGAAATGAGGCAAACTAAATCTATTAGGTCACAAGAGTTTATATATATTCATAACCTCAAACCTAAGAAGCCTTTAAAGTTATGTTTTTCTTTGTGAAATATATATAGTCTGAAATTACACTGCTTTCTTTAAGAACTATGAATTGTGTAATGGCCTGGCATTGTTGGCTCAGAGGACCATGGATCAACATTAGCATTTACCGAGAACTTGTTAGAATTGTGAAATTTTAGGCCTTACCCTGAACCTACTGAATCAGAATCTGCATTTAAACAAATTCCCTGATGCTTTCAGTCTGAGAAGTTGCTCAGTGGCTCAGTAATACTCAAATTTTGGTTATGTATAAAATCACGTGGAGGGCTTAAAACACAAATTGCTGCCCTGCACCGCCCCCCCGCCCAGAGTTTCTGGTTCAGAATTTGTGGGGTGGGGCCATGATTTGCATTTCTAACAAGTTCCCAGATAATGCTGGTGCTGCTAAGAAAACCCCTTGAGAACCGCTGCTCTAGCTGATTACTTAAAAATTGAGCAAAATCATTGAGAATGGTTTTTCTGAACTGTAGTCTTTAAATAACCCCTTGTTTAAAGAATCTGTGAAAATGTAGTTGCATGATCCTCCTAATAGTGTTAGAAATTTTCCTGTCCTCGTTTCCCAGATCACTTTATAAATGTGACTTAGAAACTGTGTCTTTGTGGTGATCACTTCCTCTATTACTTAAATATATCTTTTGGCCATAATGTTCTACTTTTACAACTGTACATAACATGAGTCTTTTTGCAGGTTTAGGTTAAAATTACATGTAGTAATATTGTTATTTACCTTAATAGTGAGGCCCTTTTATAATTATTTTAGATATAATGTACATTTTTAGAATCTGTAATAATTTTGGTGGTATAGATCCATTTAACCAGTTGGCTCAAGGTTATCAGGTGACAGGGAGATTAGCCTATTAAATGGAATAAAGACATTGTATAATATTTTATAATTGATCAGATTCTAGAAATATGAAGCTGTCATTACCTTAATAATAGGTATATTGTGCCTTTTATTTCATCTGTATGAAAGGTATTTTTTTCCTTGATAGGAAGGATTTTAAGATATTTTGTACCACCTAAGGTAATTAATGTTTTCTTTCTCCAGGTGATAATTGATGATCAATTACCTGTTGATCATAAGGGAGAATTGCTCTGTTCTTACTCTAACAACAAAAGTGAATTATGGGTTTCTCTCATAGAAAAAGCATATATGAAGGTCATGGGAGGATATGATTTCCCAGGATCCAATTCGGCAAGTATCAGGATGATCCAGACACAGACTTATGCTATCTAATATGACTATTTTAAATTTGAGAGATTATAGATGATATTTTTGTTTAAAGGAAAATAAAACAGTATGAACCCCTGAAAAATGTTGATCGGTCACCTTGTTAAGGAAAACTGTTTTCTTTTACGGATAGTGCATTGTAAAGGAATCAGGGAAGCCTAAAATGTATGTCTGCTGTCATGCTGAGATACAAGACCAGTTAGATACAGTGTACCTTTCCAAAGAAGTCTCTTCACATCAAAGGGATGTGTCATATTGTCATCCTTACGTATGTTTTTTGATTTGTAAATAAAGGTTCAAGGAGTTTGTTTTTTAGTTTTTCCCCATCTTAACACTGCTTAACCTACAAAGTCAGGGTGTGTGCCAGTGTCCTTTAGTTGGATGAGGTAGACTGGTCTTATGCCAGAAATTAGATTAGTATAACTTTGAATTATGACAATAACCAGCCTGTGGCCTTAAAAAAGGTATGTAGCCATTCTTAGCCTCTTTGCTTGTCTGTAATATGAGGATAATACCCACTTCTCAGAGTTGTAAAGATTAAATGAAGTAATGTATGCAAGTCATCCATGGTTCATACCTGGTTCGTTTTCCCACCTAGTACCAGGCCTCCTTCACTCTTCTGGTTCTTATGTTAGGCAAAGAATGTATAGGTCTTAGTTAAATGCAGTAGGATATTAAAATTTCTTCTTGGCCTACATGCTCAATTGTTCTGTTCCTCAAATATTTTTATAGTTTAGTTTCTAATTCAGTGCCTTTTAATTTACCTAGTGCAACGTAGAGAAGGAATGAGAATATATGTAAGACTTTAGAAAAGTGGCTGTCCTAAGAACTCACTAAATGGTGAGTGACTGTCATCATCATTATTAAAGCAGCTTTTATCTGTAAGATGTTCTGAGTTTTCATCAGATTTACCAGTAAAACAATTGTTGCATTCAGGAAAAACAACGGAGATTATAAGGAATAGATAAACTTGTGCTCAAATCCAGGTAGGAATTTGAATTTAAAATGAAATCTATTACTGGTCGAAAACAGCTTACTACCCTGTGATTTATTCTATCAATCATTACATCAAATCAATGAGACTTAATAGCTACCATGTGGATTCATTAAAGAGCTTGAAAACAATATTGACAGTCCTGAAAATGTGTTTATGTTGCAGAATATTGATCTTCATGCACTGACTGGGTGGATACCAGAAAGGATAGCCATGCATTCAGATAGCCAAACTTTCAGTAAGGATAATTCTTTCAGAATGCTTTATCAAAGGTAAACATTTTCCTCTCTCTCTCTTTTTGGTAGTAAAAGAGGCTATTTTTTAAAATTCATGTCTATTTAGAAGAGAAATTGCAAAGCCTGCATTTTTAGTTATTTAGAGAAATGCTGGTTTCATTTATTTTGTTTTCAGTTTTGTTTTTGTATAAGTAATCTCTGTGCCCAACATGGGGCTCAAACTCCATGACCCCCGCGTGCTCCACCCACTTAGTCAGCTAGGCACCCCCAGGAAATTGTGTTTTTAAAATGGACTTCACTTTATGTACTTGCTATGGCCGGCCCTCAGTTATCCTCACTGATTGTTACAATCAATCCAGATTGTAAATAATCCAAAACATTGGAATCTGGAATATGTCATATGGACAAATTGTTTTATACTTCCTAAGTACTTACCAATTTGAGGGAAGGTGGAAAAAGAGAAGTCTGAGAATATAAAGAGGAACGTAGCTTTTAAGCCTTAAATGAATAATCCACAGGTAGAGATGGGAAAATTGTGCAATAATACACATTCAGTAGTGAAACTAGAAAATTTCAAAGATTTGACAAAATGTATTTGACATCTTCAACTTTATTTGTAAATCATTTGAAAACTTAGCATTTGCTTTCCTTCATTGATAAGTTTCTACCTGATTATCTAAAACTGGAGGAGGGTGGGGTAATGTGATAATTTATCCGATGCATTGTGAAACAGAAATGTACCTTGTTCTCTGAGGAGTGTTGAGAATAGCCCGTTTTAGAAAAGTTGTCAAATTTGTGGAAATTTTCATATTAACTCTTTAGACTAAAGGAAAGAGAGTGTGATCTGATGGTATAAATGTGTTTTCTTTTAATTATTTGTCTGTTGGGGTCATTCCAGGTTTCACAAAGGGGATGTCCTCATCACTGCATCAACTGGAATGATGACTGAAGCTGAAGGAGAGAAGTGGGGTCTGGTTCCCACACATGCATATGCTGTTTTGGATATTAGAGAGTTTAAGGTTTTGCTTTACGTTTTTTTCTTTCTCATATCTGATAGTAAGACATTGCAAGGATCCCAAATAGTATAATAGACTTTTTTTTTTTTTTTTAAATTTAAATTTTAGGTGCAGTATTGGTTTCTGGAGTAGAATTCAGTGATTCATCACTTACGTAAAACACCCAGTGCTCATCAGTAGTGTAATAGTCTTCAGAATACTGACAAGTCAGTTTTAGATGAAGTTTTAAAAATCATTCTACCTATTACATTAAATAATGTGACCTCAACCATTGGAAATTATGAAATAAAAAGATGGGAAATGTAATGACAGTGACGTGCAGATACTGATGACAAAACAGAAATGCCTTTTGCCTCTTTTTCATAAAAGTAAAGGGTTGAGGTAAACACACAGCCCTCAAGGTTCTGGGCTATTTGCTGGTTTTGGGGGCAATCATAGCGTTAGGCTCTAGAGCATGGTAGACATTCAGTAAATATTTATGAAAGGACAAAAAATAAGAGAATATCTGTGAATAAGAAACATGCCAATGGGTTTGCAAATGTTTCTCTTCCTAGCAGCCCTCACATGCTGTCAGACATTTCAGACTGTTTCTCTGCTCAGGTGTTGGAATGGTTGACTTCATTACTTCTCAGGTTATTGATTAGCTCTTTTTAACTGAAAAATAGATCTGTTCTATGGATTAGAAAATACAGAGATTGTTACGGTAGGATTCTTTTTCTCTAATGATATAGAGTACCTAAGCTGTGTAGTCACTGGAAAGTTTAGCCACATGTTCCAGTTTCCTCTGCTTAAACTTACAGAAGGAAGTAGTGATCAATCAGCAATGACAGTGTTCCACTGTGTATTAACTAGATTGATTTTCCTATATGGCACGTAGAATTATATGAATTATAAAGGCAGTAGGGTCCTGCTGCAACATCAATTTATATGTCTCAAGGCTTTCTAAATCAGCCACTATTGTATCCCTAACCATTGTGTATAGAATAGTGTGTTCCTTTAAAAGTAGCATAAAGGGCGCCTGGGTGGCTCAGTTGGTTAAGCGACTGCCTTCGGCTCAGGTCATGATCCTGGAGTCCCGGGATCTCATCCTGCATCAGGCTCCCTGCTCAGTGGGGAGTCTGCTTCTCCCTCTGACCCTACCCCCTTCTCGTGCACTCTTTCTCACTCTCTCTCAAATAAATAAAACCTTAAAAAAAAGCATAAAAATTGATTACTTAAAGCAAAAAAATAAAAACATATGTAAAATTGAATAAGCTGAGAGATCTGTTTGTTTTAGAAATGTGATTTTCCACAAACATGAGTCAAAACATTGGCCATAACAGTTGCTGTTATTTAGTACTATGTGTATGTTATTTTATTGTTAAAACATCCTGATAGGTGACCAGGATGCCTGGGTGGCTCAGTCGGTTAAGCATCTGCCTTCGGCTCAGGTCATGATCCCAGGGTCCTGGGATTGAGTCCCACATCAATCTCCTTGCTCAGCAGGAAACCTGCTTCTCCCTCTGCCTGCCACTCCCTCTGCTTGTGCTCACTCTCTCTCTTTGTCTCTCTCTCTCTGACAAAATCTTAAAAAAAAAAATGTTAATTAAAAACCATCCTGGTAGGTGATCAACAGTGAGTTAATAACAAGATAATTAAATTTAGATAAAGTCAGTATAAAAGTAAGCTTGAATTTGAGGAAATTTTCTGTGAAGATTGTATCTACTTTGAATAATGCTATTTGTTCTGATGTTCAGAGGAAACTATACAAATAACATGTTTATGAGAGAAATAGGCACCTGTGGTTTGACCTAAAAACAAAACATTTAAAAATTTGCTGAATGTCAGTAAATTAAGAATTTTAAATAACAGCCATTTTAGTTAAAAATCAGAAAGCACTATTTACGTAGTTTTAATTCCACATGGGAGTTATTCTGTAGAGATGAAGGCATTTTAGAGCATGTATAGTTGAAGTAAACTGTGACCCCGAGACAGGTTTCTTCACTGTGGTGTAATGCTCTCTGTTCATATGTGTGCTTTCTGTTCCTATCTTAATTCTGTGCAAGTCACTGAAGCAGCATTATCCAGCTTGAGCAGACATCTCACATTGTGGAGCTGACCCCAGTTTCCTTTTGCTTACCCGAACTCTGTAGTCAGGGTTGATCTTTATCTAAAGGCTTCTTCATGTGTCAAAATTTATAAGGGTTTTCACCAGTATCTTTGATTAGTTATATACTTGAGGAGTTCCCTGGGTTCATCATTCTTTTCTTAAAGATTTTATTTATTTTGAGAGAGAGAGCACAAGCGAGGGGGAAGGGCAGAGGGAGAGGGAGAAGCAGGTTTGCAGGCTCTCCGCTGAGCAGGGAGCTCGATGGCTGTGGGGCTCAATCCCAGGACCCCGGGATCATGATCTGAGCCGAAAGCAGATGCTTAACCGACTGGGGCACCTTAACCGACTGAGCCACCTAGGTGCCCCGGGTTCATTTTTTATCTTATTTTTGCTGTCTGTATTTTGAGAGAGTTCCTTAGTTCTGACTTGAATTTAAAAATATTTCCGGGACGCCTGGGTGGCTCAGTCGGTTGAGCGGCTGCCTTCAGCTCGGGTCATGATCCCAGGGTCCTGGGATCGAGTCTCGCATCAGGCTCCCTGCTCAGCGGGAAGCCTGCTTCTCCCTCTGCCTGCCGCTCCCCCTGCTTGTGCTCTCGCTCACTCTCTCTCGCCTATGCTCTCTCTCTCTCTCTAGCAAATAAATAAATAAAATCTTTAAAAAAAAAAAATATTTCCAAAAATATTTATCTTATTTAGGCATTTATCTCTAGAACCTCTGTTGTGCAGATAGACCTAATCTTAGACTAAAGGTACTGCCAATCTTCTACATTTGTGAATTTCTTCACTTAATAAGATTTTATTAATACTTATGTGAAAATGTTATCTTTTTTGTTTGCCTCTAACCACCTTGAGTATTCTAAGATCTTCACTTTTAGTCTCAGCAGTCCTTTTGGGTCATTTTGTTGTCTCCTCCTTGAGGTTATATTCCATAGTCTATTGTGAAGCCACATCTCAGTTTCAAGCTGCTGTCTCTAAGTCCAGCAAGTCTTACCAAGGGATTTCTGAATCTATTCAAGTCTTTTCATTTGCTGCCACTTGGAAATAACTTTGAAAATGGGATGTTTCATCATAAACCAGATCCTTTTTTAGTCTAACATTTCTTCCCCTATTCAGGGCCTCTGAATTACAGGCTTTCTATCCAAACAAAATCTACAGCTCCTTCTTAGTGTCCTTAAATGTCAGTGATGCCGGGGACCTGCCCCAAAAGAACTTAGCAATTTTCTCTCCTTTATAGTCCTTCTTTAAGAAGTGTTAGAGTTCTGAAATAAGGCAGATTTCCTGCTTATGTAGAGCTAGGTTTTATGAGAAAAAAAAATAGAGTTAAATATCTGTGTGGCAGGGGTAGGAGTGGATAACTGGTAAGAAGAAATTGAAAAAAGGAATTTGAAGATTCCTGAGAGGAATGAGTCGTATGTCCAGAAATCACATCTTTCCCAGGCCATGATTTGCCATATTTAAAATAGCCGAGGAATGTGTCTTTCAGAAATGTCCCCCAGTTTGACATCATTAGAAAATGAATACAATTTCCTAATTTAACTGCTTGAGATAAGACAAATACTTGTATTTACAAGCTCTTTTGGTTTTCTGAGTCCGAGTAATGAGTTCTATAGACACACCCAGTATTTGTTGAGCACTTATTAACCTTAACACTGTTTTATAAACTCAGTGGAGACTTCTGAAAAAGGACAGTAGTGTTACCATTTCAAGGAGTTTACAGTCTCATTGGGGAGACAAGACTCATACATTTGCACAAGTAGGAAATAGGATATTATCTGTTTTGAACTAAAGTAATACAGAATGTTAGCACTATAAAGTTTAAAGAGGTAGTAATTAAAAGAAGACAGTTATTAATTGCTAAATATTTTGCACATGTTACTTCATTTAATCTTCACAACAGTGTTCTAGGAGACATTATGAGCTTCATTTTATGTGTGAGTAAAGAAATGATCAGAGAGTAAATGACCCACCCAAGGTCCATAAAGCTAATTAATAGTAGAGCTGGCATTTGGTCACATTTCATTTCTGACTCTAAAGTCCATGTTCTGTTTCTCTTCACTGCTTCAGTCTTCACTGAGAGATAGTGGAGGAAAGAGCTAAGGAGGATCTGAAAGGATCTGAAGGGAGGAGGGTGCTTAAAAGGGATCAGAGAGGGCTTTCCAGGAAAGGGGGACAGCCTGGGTAAATGCTGTTAGAGGTAAAACTGAATAAGGATTATTTGTGGGGATGATGAGAGAAAAGACTAAATTAGAGCCAAAGATACATGCAGTATGACTACTGGAAAATAAAGTGGGGCCAGAGCAGAATAGGCTTTGAAAGGGTGGGAAATTCTTGGGCACCTGGGTGGCTCAGTTGGTTAAGCGACTGCCTTCGGCTCAGGTCATGATCCTGGAGTCCTGGGATCGAGTCCCACATCAGGCTCCCTGCTTAGCAGGGAGTCTGCTTCTCCCTCTGACCCTCCCCCCTCTTGTGCTCTCTCTCTCTCTCTCTCATTCTCTCTCCCTCAAATAAATAAATAAAATCTTTGGAAAAAAAAAGAAGAAAAAGAAGAAAAAAAAAGGGGTGTGAAATTCTTGATGCTCTAAGGCAGCACTGTCCAAAAGAACTTCCTAGTGTAATGGAAATGTTCCATGGCTGTGCTGTGCTGTGCATTAGCTGCTAGCTATACGTGGTCCTTGAACGCTTGAAATGTTGCTAGTGTGACTAAGGAACTGATTTTTAATTTTTTATTTTAAAATATTTTAATTTTAATTATCACCTGTGGGTAGTGACTACCATGGACAGCATAGCTCTTGGGAATAGGTAGGCATTTGGTTTTTGATCAGATATGTGACCTAGTGAAAATGTTGATTAAAGAATATTGTAAGTTGATTTGGAAGGAAAAGTATTGATCAGTATTCAAAATGTATCCTCTCTTAGAAAATGCATGATATAACTGATAAAAATTTGGTAAAACTGTTTTTGCAACTTTATCTCCTGTTTGTTTGTTTTTTTTAATAGGGGCTGCGATTTATCCAACTGAAAAATCCTTGGAGTCATTTACGTTGGAAAGGAAGATACAGTGAAAATGATGTAAAAAACTGGACCCCAGAGTTACAAAAATATTTAAACTTTGATCCTCGAACAGCTCAGAAAATAGACAATGGTAATATATCTTTTTAATTTTAATATCATTCGATCTTTAAATAACATAATATGAAATGTATTAACTGAAGTCATTTGTCATTAAGATATTTTATAGATTAACAGACATCTAATTTTCAGGAATATTTTGGATTTCATGGGATGATCTCTGTCAGTATTATGATGTGATTTATTTGAGTTGGAATCCAGGTCTTTTTAAAGAATCAACATGTATTCACAGGTAACTTTTTGCATATTTCAGAATGTGCTTTATAGTAGTCTCCACTTTTTTCATGTAAAATATAAGGATTAATTTATGAAGACTAGCATTCTTTTTGTCATGCCCACAGATGACTGCCATGTAATAGTTATTTTGTTTATATGCTATTCTGGTTATGCCAGAAATTTTTTAAGCAATAAAACAAAAATCCTGATAACTTAGTTATATTAGAAACACAAAACTTTTAAAAATAGTCTTCTATTTTAGCTCAATGAGACACTTAATTACTGCTTTCTTTGTTGACTTTATCTTTTAGTACTTGGGATGCTAAGCAAGGACCTGTGAAAGATGCCTATAGCCTGGCCAACAACCCCCAGTACAAACTGGAGGTGCAGTGTCCACAAGGGGGCGCTGCAGTTTGGGTTTTGCTTAGTAGACACATAACAGACAAGGTACTGATCTCTTATATATCCCATACAGAAACTTTAAAAAATACAGTTAGACCATTGTGAAGAAGATACGTAATTTGGTCACCAGCCTGTTTCATTTATACAGGTGGCTTGAAGATAGTTTTGTATTACATAAATGAGTATTTTCCTCTAAGGAAATTTATATACTTAAAATCCTGAAGAAAAATGTGAATTTATGCTTGTCAATGAGGGTTTTGAGCTTGATTATATATGCTTTAGGTCTTAAGAATATTAACATTAAAATACTCTGAAGGGGGTTAGGAGATGTTAAATCATTAGGCCTGATTCTGTAAAGCATAACCATAATCTTAATAGCCTCAGGGTCTTATTTAATGTATTATTTTATACAATGTGGTCATCCATTGAAATGAATTTAACTCAGAAAAGCGGTTTTTATAGTACTAAGTAGCTGAAATGCTCTTAAAATTAGAATTTTTTTCCCTACTTAAGAGCATTTTGAGCCCATTTTCCTAACTACATTGGATTCTTTGTACTTTCAGGATGATTTTGCAAATAATCGAGAATTTATCACAATGGTTGTATACAAGACTGATGGGAAAAAAGTTTATTACCCAGGTATGTTTAGTATACATTCAAACAAACATTAAAATTTTATTTGCCTGATTAAAATGACAAGCTTTATGTAGATATATGCAGAAATAATGCTGATAGGCTAATAAAAAAACATTCGAACAGACGTGCTGGTATTTTTGCTACTTTTGTGTTGTTTTGATTTGTTTTTAATTTAGAGACCTCAGGAATTTGGGATTCCTATATTCTTGCATATTGCTGTCAGAGTTTTATTTCTAAAACTTAAATCCTTTTTCTCTCATCAAAAATTCTATGGTTTTCTGTGGACTCCTGGATAAAAGCTATGCTCTTTGGCATGATTTGTAAGACTTTTGATATTCTGACCTTAACCTTCCTGTTGCCTTTTATCTCAGGCCCCAGCTTTTCATATTACCCTCAGCGAGGTACTGACTACTGAACACCCCATGCCCTTCCTTCCCCTCTTTTCATACAGTTTCTTCTCCCAAGTATCTCTCTCCTCCCTGTCCTCTACCCACTTACTCCTCTTACCCTCTTCTGTGTAATGAACATGTTTAAGATCCAGCTTATATGTTATTTCCTCTGTGATAACCTTTCTGCGAGGCAAAGAGAATCTTTCCTTCTGCAGGGCTCCTGAGGCATTTAACATACTATATTGAAATCACTTTGCTTTCACATTTAAAAAAAAAAAGTTTATCTCATATTAAGCGATAGGAACTGTTAGTTTATGTTCTTGTTGGAGAGACAGAAATAAGAAAAATACCAGATAGTGATGTGTGTGTAAAGAAATAAGTAAGATCATGTGTTTGTGACTGATGGGTTGCTTTGGTTGGGTGGCCATGGAAGGCCTCTTTGAGAAGGGGTAAGAGGAACTCTGAATGACAAAAAGAAACCAGTCCTACAAAGAAATAGAGGGAAAAGCATTACAGGCAGAGGGAACAAATGCAAGGACTCTAAAATGAGAAAAAAGAGTGTTTCTTAGAAACAGAAAAAAGGCCAGTAGGCCTTGGTGGTATGGCATCAAGAGGTCAGAAGGTATGCAGGCTCAGATTACATGATGTCCTGTAAGCCACACCAGGGTTTGGATTTTGTTCTAAGTGTGACAGGAAATCTTTAGAGAGCCTTGATCAGGAAAATGACGATACAAATTTTTTTTTAAAGACCATTCTTTGGGGCGTCTGGGTGGCTCACTTGGTTAAGCGACTGCCTTTGGCTCAGGTCATGATCCTGGAGTCCCAGGATGGAGTCCCAGGATCGAGTACTGCATAGGGCTCCCTGCTCAGCAGGGAGTCTGATTCTCCCTCTGACCCTCCCCCCTCTCATGTGCTTTCTCTCTTCTCTCTCTCAAAATCTTAAAAAAAAAAAAAAAAAAGGCTATTTGTAGAATTATATTGGCAGGGGCAAAATATGGAAGAGAACCAAATCAGTGATTTTGACAAAGAACTTAGCATAGTAGGAGTAGAGTGGAGATGAGGAAGAGTGGGCACATTTGGGTTTCAGTAGGATTGTCAGGACCTGAGTTGATGTAGGGGACAAAGAGGGATCAAGGATGATTTCTGTCTTTTTGGCTTACTTCATAAAAAGCTGCTATGACATTTACTGAGATGGGTAAGAGTTGGCGGGGGGAGCAGTTTTGTTGTGGAGTAAAAGCACAAGGTTAATTTTTGGTTTTGTTAGTTATTTAAAATACCTATTAGATATCCAAGTGTAGAAACCAAGGAAACAATTGGGTTTTTGGGTAGAGCTCTGAGATACGGTTAGGATTATAGATACAAATTGAAGAATCAGGGGCATATAGATGCCTTTTGAAGATAGGACTGTATATACTGCTGGTGGAGAGAGTTATAGGTACAGAGATGAACACCCAGAAACTGACCCTTGGATTCAGACATCTTAAGGTTGAGCAGAGGAAAGTTACTGCAGAAAAATTAGAACAGAGTACCTGAGGAAATAGAGTAAGATTTACATGACCAAAGGGAAGACAGTGTTTCATGAGGGAAAGAGTGGGCAGCTGCATCTGTTGCTATTTTAGAGGTAAGATTAGGTTAGAGAAGAAACAATTGGATTTAGTGTCCTGCAGTCATTGTTGACCTTAACAAGAACAGAGTTGGTGGAGAGGTGGGCCTAGAAGCCCAGTTGGATTGGACTGAGGAAAGACTAGGAGGTAAGGAATCAATTATTGACAGTTCTTTCAAGAAGGCTGTGCAAAGAAAGTGGTTTCGTTAAGTCTTGTTTTATTTAATCAGAGGAAAATATGGTATTCATCCCCCTTAAACTGGGGCGGGGCGGGTGGCGCGAGCACAGGGAGACAACAGGCCCTGATTCCTATCGGTCAGCATCCCTTGATATTCCGGAATGGGCATGGCACATAGTATTCCAAGGATTAAAGGTAAATTAGCCAAATTTCCCATTTTTCATATGTTGGCCACTATACAACCAAAAAAACACAAATATTGTGAGTATATATTCCTAGCATTAAGATATTTATATGGCTTTTGAACTTCAACAATATTTTTGTTACACTTTTTATTTGGATTTTTTTTTAAATGATGCTCCCTCTTACATATAATGATAATGCCTTTTCAGAAAAAGGTACTTTCTGGTTTACAGTTTTATTTTCATCACAACACCCTGAGGTGAATTTAAAAAACTCTTCTATCATTCCTTATTTGACAGGAGAGTAAAATGGAGGCACAGAAAGTTTAAAAATCTTGTCCAAGATCACAGATACGCCCTTTCTTTTTCTCTTCACACTAGATGACACCACTCTAAGCATTAGAGACTTATTACCTGTTTGAGATACTGAAATGTTTAGTTTTTTCAATAGATATAAGTATTTGGTGTTCCTAAATAAGCTAAATGATATAGCATTGATTTTAAATGACATGTAGTAATTGACATGCATGAAATAATTTTATTGTATTGGCCTTGATTGCAATGAGACATCAGATAATATATTCAGGTAGCATTGTTTGTAATAGCAAAATATTGGAAATAATCTGTCAGATGTCTGAATAACTAATGGGGGTATAAATAAGTCATATTCATGTGATGGAATATCACACAGGCAGTTTTAAAAGGAATAAACCGTATCTATATAGAACGTGAATCTTAAAAACATGTTGAGTGAAAAATAAAAGCTTTAAAATAAGACATATGCTGTCCTTTTTTTAGATATATGCCCACAGAAATAACCATTCATTTTTAGGGATGTGTGTGTGTGTGAAATTCTGGAAAGATGCCCGTTAATCCATCAGAGTGGAAATGAATAAGACTAAGGGTGGTGTTAAAAGGGACTTTGTTTTATAAGGAAGAGAGTATGACTCCCAGAAATGTTAATTTAGTTCTGAATGGTGGGGAATATAGATACATTTTTATATACTACTTTGTATCTTAAAAAATTTCCTCAAAATAAAAAAACGCCAATCTTGATTTTAAAATCCTCTGTTGGAGAAAATTCAACATAGGGCTAATAGGAATTATACCTCATTGAATGTATTCCAAAAGATTGCATTTACTTATTAGAAATTATTTAAATTTTTTGCTTAATTATAAAGTTTTAAGTTGAAATTGAAATTCTTTAGTACTATTATATTTTAAAGATAGAATCAAGGGGGGTAAGGATATCCATCCATTTAATTTTTTTTCCTATCATGACCTATAAAACTTAAAAACTACAGAAACTAAACTATCCTTTTCTGTAAACCTATTGTTTGTAGGTGACCCGCCTCCATACATTGATGGCATTCGAATTAACAGCCCTCATTATTTGACTAAGATAAAGCTGACCACACCTGGGACCCATACCTTTACATTAGTGGTTTCTCAGTATGAAAAACAGAATACAATCCATTATACTGTCCGGGTGAGTAAACCAACATAGAGTGACAGAACACAATAATATAAAGTACATAATGTACTCTGCTTCATAAGTGGGATTAGCTGTGGAAAAAATTTATTTCTGAAAATTGTTCTCTATAAGTTTTTGTGTGTGTTTATATTAATTCAGTATTATGATGCTTCCCACAGAAAGTAATGCTTTTGAAAAGTAATGTTTTTATTTTGAATGACATATTGAATGAACATTTTAGTTTTCAGAATAATAGTTTAGTCCTGAGGTAATGTGATGTGTTGGACTAATAAATTCTATTTCAGAACAAGCAGTTAAGAACTCCTTTATCCTATGTAATACTTTAATTGACTTAAAAAACACAACTTTGAACTCTGTGAAAGGAAATCAATTGCCTGTAAACATCTTGCTCTCTCATAAGCTGGGCAGGTTTGTTGGTTGGTTGGGTGGGGGGAGGTTATTGTAATTTTGTTCTGCATAGGTTTTTTCCCATCAGTAAGGGAGCTCAATTTGAATAGATTTTTAGTGATGAAAGGGACATTGGGAAGCTGCTTCCACCCCCTTTATTCTTCAGATGCAGAAACCAAGGCCTAGGGAGATTGCCCTGAGTCACACACAGTAGCAGAGAAAGCCAGAACAAGATCCCTAGCTGCTCAATTCCCAGTTCATTAAACCTGTGTACAGAATAATGACTTTTGTGAATGCCAACTAACTTTTTAGTCTTCCAGTATATTCTTTTATCACTTTGGAGTTTTTATAAGCATAAACTTTATCAGTACAATAAATTTTGTTTTAAATCTAGGTATATTCAGCCTGCAGCTTTACTTTTTCAAAGATTCCTTCACCGTACACCTTATCAAAACAGGTAAGAATTCTCTGGGTCATAATATCAGAGAAATCTTAGAATTCTCTTGTTTTTTTTCTCCTTTTCTCATTTTATTCACATTTAACAATTTTTTACAAAATAAAAACATTCTGGACTTGACAGTAATACAAGGAAAATGTAAGTGGTCTCCAGTCTGTGTTGGAATACAGGATCTTCAATGAACAACATTTAGTGATTCTGTGGGAAGAAATAAAACTCAAAGAAAGAAGATTATGCAGACTTTGGTCATTAGGGAAGGGTTCGTCATGTAGATGAACCTTTATTTTTTATTTATTTTTTTAAAAGATTATTTCAGAGAGAGCGCACAAGCATGAGGGGGGCAGTGGCAGAGAGAGAAGCAGACTCCCTGCTGAGCAGGGAGCCTGCCACGGGGCTCCATCCCAGGACCCTGGGATAATGACCCAAACTGAAAGCAGAAGCTTAACCGACTGAGCCACCTAGGCGCCCCATAGATGAACATTGAAAGTAGAATCAGAGACTGGTTTTGCAGGGTGGGCTAGATGTGTAGAGGAAGATTTGAGGGAAAATTCTTGGCTCCCTTGTCAAATATTAATTGACCATATATGCTTGGGTTTATTTCTGGGCTCTTTATTCTGTTGGCCTATATGTTGTTTTTATGTCAGTACTGTATTGTTTTGATAACTACAGCTTGAAATCAGGAAGTGTGTTATCTCCTGCTTTGTTCTTTCTCAGGAATTCTTTGGCTATTCAGGGTCTTCTGTGGGTCCATGTAAATTTTAAGAGTTTTTTTCTTCTTGTGTTAAAAAAAAAAAAAAAGGTCATTGGAGTCCTGATAGGGATTGAATTTATAGATGGCTTCTGATGTATTGACATTTTAACAATATTAACTCAGCCCATGAACATAAGATATCTTTCCATTTATTGTGTCATTTTCAATTTCTTTGATTAGTGTGTAATAAGTTTTCAGATGACAGCTCTTTTACCCCCTTAAGTTTATTCCTAAGTATCTTACTGTTTTTGATGTTACTATAAATGGGTTTTCAGAAAATTCATTGTTAACAGAGAAATGCTACATCTGTATGTTAATTTTGTATCCTGCAGCTTAACTGAATTTTTTGATTAGATCTAATACTTTTTTGGTTGAGTCTTTAGGGTTTTTCTATATATAAAATCATGTCATCTGCAGATAAAGACAATTTTATTTCTTCCTTTCCAATTCAATACATTTTCTTTCTCTTGTCTGATTACACTAGCTAGGACTTCCCAGAATATGTTGAATAAGAGTGCTGAGAGTGGACATCCTTGTCTTGTTCCTGATCTTAGAGAAGAAGCTTTCAACCTTTCATCATTGTGTATGATGTTAACTGTAAGCTTGTCATATGTGGCCTTTATTATGTTGAGATACGTTCCTTCTATTCCTCATTTCTTAGGGAAGAGTTTCTATCATGAATGGATGTTGGATTTTGTCAGATGCTTTTTCTGTGTGTTAAGATGATTGTAAGATTCCTTCATTCTATTTTGACATATCACATTGGACTGATTAGCATATGTTGAACCATCCTTGCATCCCTGGGGATGTCTATGTTTTCATATAGTTCATTAAGCTTCCTTAAGGATTGTTCTGCATTCTTTGACAGTTCATAGATCTCCATTTTTATAGGGTTATTGGAGTGTTAATTCGCTTTTGTTTTTTGGGTTTTTTTTGGTGATGTTCTATTTACCTGATTTTTTGTGATCCTTAGTTTTTAGGTTTGTAAATCTGCACATTTGAGTGATTAGGCTCACTTTACAGCTTCGCTGTGGCAGGGCCAGTTTTCCACCAGTTAGCTTAGTTCGGGTTTCTGGATGTGTCTGCTGGGTGTCCTTGGGCAGACGGGGCCTGCCATGATGGTCTGTTTTTGGGCAAGGCAACTGTTAGAACTCTGAGGATAGAGATGGTGGTTGTGCCATGAGCTGAGAGCAGTTGGGTAGGACTGCTGGCTCGGTCCTACCCAAATGAAGCTATGGAACAGGCTCCACAGTTGCCTAGATTCTCTGGTCAGACTTACTACGTGGTCGGGACATGGTACTATAACCAGTAGTAGATGGGGCTATGAATTAGTTTCCCTGCTTTGGTAGGGCAACAGGATAGGACCCAGGGATTGTGCAACTCATTATGTGGGGACCTGCACTGAATTCCCTAGTCAGGTGAGGCCACCAGTTTTGCTCTGCAGACAGGGCAAACCCACAAGCTGTGCTTTTTGTTCAAGCACCACTATAAAAGGCCTGTTAGGTTATGCAGCTTCCCATGTGCTGTGGTTCGGTTCCCTGGTCAGAGAGGCTGAAGGCTGGTGTTCAGCGATGAGCAGGCCTACAAATCAGATTCCCTACCTGGGCTCAGCAGGAGACGCATCTCTTTGTCGTCTTGACACAAGCCCACCTACACCCCAAGTTCTGTAACCAAACAGGGCCACTGGCTTTGCTCTGTAAACTATTGGTTCTGCTTGCCTCTTGGCTAAAGTGCCACTGGAATGCACAGCATCCAGTAGTTGTCACCAGCCCTTCTGGTCAGATGGGGCTGGAAGGCACTCTCTACAGCAGTTGGGGCTGTGACTCAGCTTCTTGCCTGGGTGTGGGCAATCCAGGCTGTAGGGCTGGCAAAACTCATTTGAGTATCCAAATCAGGCAGATCTGCATCCTGCCAAGTTCCTGGGTCAAAGCGTGCCCTATCTTGGTTCTGCAGATAAGCAAAGCCACTGGTTGGGATTACTACTTGGGCACTGCAGGTATGAATTCAGTCTGCCGAGGTCCATATGCTGGTTGTTGCAAGCTCCACCCTCTTCTCTGTCACAGATTCCCCTGTAATCCTCATGGTGCGAGATCAGGTGGGGGCTTCTGCAAAACAAGCCACAGTGCTTGGGGGAAGCTTGTTGTCCACTGGAAGAATCAGAACCTCAGGGGAGACATCTCCACTTGGTGCTTTGCTGGCCTGGAGACAGTGCGGTCAACATGTAGCTGCCTCTCTTGTCCTTCTGATGCCATCTCTCTTGGTCTCTATGGTGCAGGAGGGTGCTTCTGCCTCACCCCCATGTTTAGGATTTTCTCAGTGCTATCCTATTCTGGAATAGCTATTATAGTTGGCCTTGTGAACGGGAGCAAAGCAGGAGAAACCTGTTGCCACCTTGGTGACGCCATTCCCTTTTTAAGTCTTTAGAATTGGAGAATGGGAAGTTTTGTTAATACAAAAACTTTTGTTTTATTAAAGATTAATGGAAAGTGGAGTGGCCAGAGTGCTGGAGGATGTGGAAATTTCCAAGAAACTCACAAAAATAACCCCATCTACCAATTCCATATAGAAAAGACCGGGCCATTACTGATTGAGCTAAGAGGACCAAGGTTTGTGATTAAGTAACTTTCTTAATATATTAAAAATGAGTTTAATGGAACAGAATAGGGTTTTGAAACAGACCTATGCATGTACAGGCACTTGATTAATAAAAAAGATGGCATTGCACAGGAGTGGGGAAAGGATAGTCTGTCGAATAAATGTGCTGGAATAATTGAGTATCCATGACCCAAAAAGGTAATTAGACCACTGTCTCACATCAAATCTAAAAAACTTTGCAGTTGGGTTACTAATAAAAGAAATATATAATGACTTCAGGATAAAGAAAAGTTTAAGACACAAAGCACATAGAAAGATTTGTAAATATGCTACGTTAGTTATATAAAAAAAAGAGTCCACCATTTAAAAACTAAAGCTTGGATAGGCATGTCATGAGAGGGACAATCCAAAATGGTTAATAAACTATTGTAAGAGCCAAATATTTATAACAACCCAAGTGTTCGCATCAGCGGCATTGAAGATTATAAAATAGTCACTGAGTCCTGCATAACAGTGAAAGTAAATTAGAACTACCCGGAACATGATGGATGAGTCTTAATGCTGAGCAGAAGCCATACGTAATATAACGTCAACTGTGTGATTCCACTTATACGAAGTGAGGAGCAGGCAAAATGAAACTATTATTTAAAGATGCATGCTTAGGTTGTCAGACTATATAAAAGCAAGAAAGTGGGGGAGGGGTTTGGGAAGTGGGTGAAATAGGTGAAGGGGATTAAGAGGTACAAACTTCCAGTCGTAAAATAAGTCAGAAGGATGAAAAGTACAACAGAAAATACAGTCAGTAATGTTGCAACGTACGGTGGGTGCACTCACTGTGGTGAGCATAACGTAGAGAACTGTCGTATCACGGTTGTGCATCTGAAACTAACATAACGTCGTATGTCAATACACTTTTTAAAGAAAGGCAAGAAAACGTTAAATGTTAGCTCTGTGGGGACAGGAGCTGTAATAAGAAAGGCACAAACGGACTTCTACGGCGCTGAGAGTTGTGTTGGTCTAGGTAGTGACAACCCATGTGTTCACTTTACATGTTATGTAGGCTGTATGTTCTGTGTACGTGGTGTTCTATTTCTCAACTTAATGTTTAAAAAACAATAAAAATAGTACTTTTAAATAAAACTAGACTTAGTTTTGCCTCTTTACAAACTCTCAAAAACTAATCCTTTAGATACGGTTAAGCTAGTTTTCTACAGTTTGATAGGTGAAATAAGGTATCTAGTTGCTCTTTTGTATTTAATTCGTAGATTGAAGTAAAAGTATTCGATGTAAAAATGTTTGACAACGTGTAGCTTTTGCTTTGCCTGTTCTTTTGCCCATTTTTCTCTTGGAATTGTCATTGTTTTCTTAACTGTAAGCATGAATAGGGATCTGTATCACATATTTCCAAGCATTTTTCCCAGATCAATTTTTTTTTCCACATAGAGAAAAATTTTCATTTTAAAGTAATCAAATCTGTCTTTTCAGGTTTATTTTGCTATGGGCAGGAAATCTCACCCCAGTATCAAATTTGTACCATATTTTTTTCTAGTTTTGTGGTTTACTTTTTATATCTATATGGAGTGTATTTTTATATTTGGTGTGAATACAGTGTAAGTTCTTTTTCCTAAAATTTGTCACTTCATCACCATCTTAAATAATCCTTTCCCTACTAATTTGGAATGTCATGTCTACCATATGCTAATTACTTCTGTAAATTCAGATTTTATTTCAGGATATTCTCTCTCCTTCCACTTTTTCTGTAAAGACAGTATTTTATTTAAATGTAACAGTATTCTCTGAGAGCCTGTGGTAAAAATACAGTTTCTTCTAAAGTAAGTTTAGTACTAAATCTTCATAGCTTCAATTTAAAAATATAAATGGTACATCTTGTATAATTAAGAGTAAAAATAGTATATGCATGTGTTTCAGAGTGGTTTCCTCCTAAAGCTTTAGAAAGCAATATACTTGGTTTAATAGAGTATCTGCACTTTAAAGACTGCACTTTTGAGACTACTTAATAACGACAATAATTGGTTTTGGGGTTTTTTTTTTGTTAGGCAATATAGTGTTGGATTTGAGGTTGTAACAGTGTCCACGGTGGGAGATCCCGGTCCCCATGGCTTTCAGAGGAAGTCTAGTGGTGACTATAGGTAATGTTAGCATTTTGACTACATCTAATTTATACTTTACTTTACTTTTTGTGGCATAATTTTCTGTAAACTTTGTTCTCATTTTTCCTGCATATAGGTGTGGGTTTTGCTACCTGGAATTAGAAAATATACCTGCGGGGATCTACAATATCATTCCTAGTACTTTTTTGCCTAAACAAGAAGGACCTTTTTTCTTGGACTTCAATAGTATTATCCCCATCAAGACAACACAACTTCAGTGATGCAGCTTTCAGCATTTACTGGATTTTACCCTTACCAGACATCAGCTCTTCGAATGAGGATGGAAATCCTCAGGACACTAAACAGAATTAAATCTCTAAAAAGGTTACAGTGGGATCTGGTGCTCAAGTCAGAGTGTTTAGAAGTGTATATAGTCAGAATTACCCTAAATCAATCACTCAGAAGTACTATTTACACGGTTTTGTGTGTATAAGGAGTTGGTGTGCGTTGAGGGGCCACATCGTATAAACAGATTGTGGAGGATTAAAGACTAGGCTCAGTACAAAGCCTTTGCTAAAAGAGAATAGAGACCAGATAGGGGACATGACTCATCCACTCACTGGGTGGAACAGTAGGCTGGTATAATATTCTGAAATATTTATATTTGTCTTTTGGCAGAGCATGTTGTAAGTTAAACCTGCTTGTATTGATTCTACTGTACATCTTGGGCAGCTAATTACCAAATGAATCATGTCACCATAACAGATTTTGTGTTATGATTTTTAATGTTTGTTGCCCAGATGTTATGAAAGAATAAAGCTTTAAGAAATATTTTAACTTAGTTAACAATGAAGGTTGTTGAACTTAGGTACCTGTCTCCCATTAACTCATGTAAAGAGAACTGAGATATATTCACTATTGCAATTCTTATTTATCAGGCTCAATGAAGGTAGTAATCTGAGACACTGAAGACAGAGTTCCGTTTGTTTAGTCTTTTAAAAATTGCTCTTCTGGTAACACTGAAAAAAATACCATATATTAAATTTTCAGATGTAATTGGGGTTGTATTTGGAGAAACTGCCAAGAGACTATCGCCATGTATAAATTCCCAGTTTACATAGAAATCCAGAGATTTCTGGAGAGAGAACGATGAGAGCAGAATGATGCTCAGGATTTTAAACGTCCAAAAATAAGGTGGAATTTTTCATTGTCTCTACTTTATAATTACCACAGCTTTTGTATTTCTGCTACCTTTATTTGAAATAAAATCTTTATACTTACGGAAACTGCATAGTTTAACCTAGAGAGATTATTAAAGGGCTTCATCTAGTATGTGCCATCTAAAAGAACTCATTATTTACATGACAATTCAGGCTTCAGCAAATCTGTTTCATATTCAGGATAGTGATTCCACTTTGGTAAATATTAAGTGCTTTCCCTTTTAGGTGGATTTTCTGTGGCCCTTTAAAGAAAAATTTAAACACATGATTGGAACCTTTTATATTAAAGATACTGTACAGGATGCAAACAAGTAAGACCTAATTCCTGCCCTCAAAAACCCAATGGAGACCTACATATGAACAGTTTAATATGAATTCTATTACAACAGAGCTCCGGATATGGTGCTACAGATAGAAAAACAGTCTGAATGTCAGCTAGGTGCACATTAGAATCACCTGGGGGAGCTTTTAAAAGTTTAGTACCTCAAGTGTACCCCAAATGATCTCAGGCTCTAGGACCAGAGAACAGCCGCATTCTTCAAGCAAGCTTCCCCGGAGATTCCAGTATAGCAGAGGTTGGGAAACACTCCTCCGACATAATCACCTTGTCTTCATTTTCCTTATGCTGTGTCTCCTTACTGCTCAGCGTTAGTGGTGGCAGAATTCTAACTCAACTCTGGTAATTTGGGGCTTAAATTACTGGGATCCAGGACCTTAACTGGAAGTTAGATGACCGACCACTGCATTCCATGCTCTTCCTTGTGGCAAGGTTGCCTAGAATGGAAGATTTAGGCAACATCAGGGTTTCTTATTTGAAGACACACAAGGGTAAACATTTTCTTAAGCCATTTTTATTACACTCAAGGAATTAAGACAAGTACAAAATAACCTTGTAATTAGGATACTGTATCAGTCCTTAAAAAAGGAGAAAAGACTACAGTCTGAAGAGATTTACAAATGACTAAAATATACAAGCTGTGTCGGAATTAACAGACGACTTGAAATGGGGTTGCTTTTCTTTTAGAAATGCTAAGTTTTCTTAACAAAAAAGGACAAATAAAATACAGTGCTCTAAATATGTGTAACCATGAAAACGTTAAAGAAAAGCAATCTTAACACGTACTATTAGCATAACAGACTTCATTGCTTCTATTTAACAACCTGTGCCGACACATGCCTACTCCCTTTCCTAGCTTTAAGGAACAGTTCCCTCTAAGAAATACTAATGCAGCATAACCCTTAAATAAGTTATTTTTAAAGTCACAACCTACAGAGAAATTGACACCGTGTCAATCTAGATAGAACAATGGCAACCATTCTTCACATGCACTTCTTTTAATTCTTAAGTCCCGTGGCTGGTGGGCTAAGGTTTATGCTACAGACTCTCCTCCCCCACAGCCATAAATCCACTTTCTATGGTACGCCCCTGCTACCCTCCATCCCTCCCATCCCCACGTTGGCATTCACCTTTCCCACCCCAAAAAGTGCAGTTCATGGCAACCTTTATAGAAAATGGTTCTAATGGGTATCCCAGCATATAGGCTTTTTTAAAAGCCCCTTCTGAATACCAGAGGTGACGAAAATGAACTGTGTTCTTGGGTTGTTTTTTTGTTTGTTTGTTTTTAAGCCTTCACTGGGTCAAATAGGTGTGTTCTGAATATTCGAGTTTGTTCTTGTGTTTTTTCATGTCGATCCCCTGGGATATGAAGGAGACACCATCTCCATTTTCCCAAATTGAGGTTAAGAGAAGGGAAAGAGAAGCAAGCTGTTGACCCCCGTTTGGCTCAGCTTCCCAGCCCCTTTCCTGGCTCGGGTTCTTTGACAGGAACTAGTTATTGCTTCCATAACACTGTTATGGGGAATATTCCACAAAGGCTGTGACCCTGGTCACAGTCTGCTCCAACAACGCCTCTGCTCTGAAAAACAAACCAGCCCATGAGCTCTTTCCCAGAAGAAAGCTCTTCAGCCCTCCAGGTCACAACGTCATTAGTGCAGTTTAGAGTAAACGCTTAAGATTTGGCATATAGTAACTGATTATTGGCACAATGTTCTCCATACAGCTTCGTGTATAAATACAGCTCTGCACTTGGGCCAGGGCTTTGCAGGGATCAGCCAATCTGCACCATCTGTATGTCAGCAATAACCCCGTCTCTTCCCTTTGAGCACTGCAGGGAGAGCTGCTTCATCCTGTTCTCCAGGGCCTGGCCCTCGCGGGCAGTGCTACCCTGGCTCTTGCCGCCGCTGCTGCCGAGGCCTCGGTTGTTGTTGGCTTTGTCACTCGTTTTATTCTCTGCCCCTTCTGCCCTGTCTCCTAGAGAAACGTAAAGATCATTAAGTGAGTCTCTGGGCCCCCAAGCCAACGCAGGCCTCCAGAAGCTCCCCGTGTTGCCCGACCGTGCCTGTCACAGAGCCTACTCCAGCACATGAGGACACACTGCTTTTACTGGCCAAGGCATTCTACATATTCCTCATCTGTAGAGAGGACTGCTCCTACCCTCACAGCCAGGAAGCCAGCCTCTCTAGCACAGGCTTGTCAAGAGGACTGCTGGTGATGAAAGACCCAGAAGCCAAGCTGCTCTTTGACGACACGTTCAGGAGCGGAGCCAGGAGCCCCATGTACGACAGCCGGCGTCTCCGTGATCAACACTGACCGCACATGCACAGAGGCCCAGTGACGCAGCCCTGGGGGTGCCGAGACCCAGCGAAGGTCCAGAACGGCGCAGAGCTCCGGCTGTATGTCGGACCTGCCGTGAGTCATCTGGCCCAGGCACTACTGGTGAGAGGGCTGTAACTCACCTCGTTCTACCTCACATTCGGGGGAGGAGGCTCCACTGCATTCACTGCGAGGGCCCAGTACCGGGAACATCAGCCCAAACTCCGACAGAGACACGGGGCTGGGCAGGTCCAGGCTGCCAGGCCTCACAGCTGCGGGGAACTGGTCAGGCATCTCGGACGGGCTCGTTGGCCCCGAACTAAAGCTGGACACCGACTGGGTTTCCGAGTCGTCTTCAGACACGAAGTTGCTGCAGTTGTCATCTTCAAAGGCCTCGGAGGCCACTAGGTGGAGAGAGAACACCGGTCAGAGGTTCTGACGGGGAGCAGCCCCGTCCCTTATGCCTGTCCAGAAGTGTGCGCTGCTGGCCAGCAGGGGGACACGGCCTGGGGACTGCAGACTCCTTGCCACCATGTGTACCCGATACAAGGACTCTGACTCTCTCAAGTCTGCATGGCCACACTGGCCAGCAACCTGAAGGGAAGCAGTTGGTCCCATGGATATGCAGTGTCCTTACGATAACTTTCTAACTCCTGCCCCAGAAGGCAGTGTTGACTACCTAAAGGTGGAGGATGAATCTGCCCCAGGTCAGGGGCTCTTCTGCACCCCAGGCCCCCAGGCAGATCCACTGGTACAAAGGAAGAGAGTGGCCCTTTGTGATGCACACTGAACAAAGCCAATCAGATGTAACAGCTGTTTCCATGCAGTAGAAGCAGGAGGTACTAGAACAAACAGTCCTGTGTGCAATATCTGTTGGCATTCTGTGATCTCCAGGTAACTTTCGATCACATGAAAGACACACCATTTGCTGTAAAAGGACAAAATTCCTTTACAATACTCTTAGCTTGTGGATCAGAATAACCAAGGCCCAGAGGACAGGTCATTCTTGTGGTTGAAAAGCCACTTTAACTATTTCCCCCTCAGCCTGCACACAAGACTGCTTATTAGACCTTCCCTATTCTACTCTCCTTCCCTCCTCCCTCATCTTTAAAACAGCCTTGGTAGCGTCCCCTAGAGGACTACCATAAGTGAAAAGTACTGGAATGCTGAAGACAGAAAACAGGCTCATATCTGAATTCAGATCCTGTCTCCACTATCTGTGTAGCCTTGGTCAGGTTACTTAACCTCTCTGAGCTTCATGTTCCTCTGCATATGAGAGGATGGATATTAGAGTACCTCACACATTACTGACAAATTTTAGTTTCCTTTACTTTGGGCCTGGCACTTAAACATTTGTTGAGTGAATTTCACAACTCCGGAGGAAGGACCTTGGGAGAGCACCAACAGGGATTATTCCACAGAAAAGGGAATAAAGGAAGTGTGCAAAGACAGTGCTGGAAAGGTTTTGATTAACCTAAAGGGAAAACTGGACCATTTTCTTTCACCATACACAAAGAAAAACTCAAAATGGATTAAAGACCTAAATGTGAGACCTGAAACCATAAAAATCCTAGATGAGAGCACAGGTAGTAATTCTCTGACATCGATTATAGCAGCATTTTTCGAGATAGGTCTCCTGAGGCAAAGAAAACCAAAGCAATAAACTATTGGGACTACATCAAAATAAAAAGCTTCTGCCCAGTGAAGGAAACAGTCAACAAAACTAAAGGCAACCTACAGAATGGGAGAAGATATTTGCAAATGAAATATCCAATTAAGGGTTAGTATCCAAAATATATAAAGAATTTATACAAGTCAACACAAAAACAAATAGTCCAATTAAAAATGGGTCAAAGACAGACATGCAAAGACAGATGGCCAACAGACACATGAAAAGATGCTCAACGTCACTCATCATCAGGGAAATAACGAATGAAAACCGCAATGAGATATCATCTCACACCTGTCAGAATGGCTAAAATCAAAAACACAAGAAACAACAAGTGTTGGCAAGGATGTGGAGAAAAAGGAGCACTCGTGCACTGTTGGTGGGAATGCAAACTGGTGCAGCCACTGTGGAAAACAGTATGGAGGTTCCTCAAAAAATTAAAAATAGAACTACTCTATGATCCAAGAATCGTACTGCTGGGTATTTATCCCCCAAAACACAAAAAACACTAATTCAAAGGGATATATGCGCCCCTATGTTTACAGGAGCATTATTTACAACAGCCAAGATATGGAAGCAGCCCGAGTGTCCACCAATGGATGAATGGATAAAGAAGATGTGAGATATTATATATATAATGGAATATTATTCAGCCATCAAAAAGAATGAAATCCTGCCATTGGCAATGACGTGGATGGAGCTAGAGAGTATTATGCTAAGCAAAATAAGTCAGAGAAAGACAAACACCATATGATTTCACTCATGTGGAATTTAAGAAACAAATAAGGAAAAAAAAAAAAACCCCAAGAAACAGACTTAACTACAGAGAACTGACAGTGACCAGAGGGGAGGGGGCTGGGGGGGGGATAGAGGAGATAGGGGATGGGAATTAAAGAGTATATTTACCATGATGAAAAAAATAAAATTATAAAGGCAGGGGTCACAGCAAACATAGCCATTTCCTAAGGGGTGGCCCTGGGAAAAAAGGTCTCCACGGACACCAGAGAGAGCCACCATTTTCAGACCTTCTGGGTGCCTGCCATTATTTAATCTCAACCTCCCCTCTACACAGTGGATATTAGGTGCTCATACTCCCCACTTTACAGGTGAAGAAACAGTTGAGCCCTTGCCCACATCAGGTACTATGGGAGAGCCAGGATTTGAATCAAATCTGTGTGCACAGTCCCTATTCTTAGGCAACTCTCCCTTCCTGCGGTACTTCTCAGAGCCCTGAATGTTCTCATATGTACTCTGAATGCCAGGATGAAGTGTAACATTTTCCAAACTCATCCACCCCAGAATCCTGACTCTGAGGAACACTCAAGTAGCACCTTGATGAATACAGTGTTCCACAAAATGTGGGAAGCCACGAGAAAATAGCCACCTATCTGGCCTGCCCAACTCTGAGACCCTTCCGTGATGGCGAGACAGCCCTGGAAGCAAAGCACACAAGCTGCGTCATCTCCCACTTGCACACCAACCCCCAGAACTCACCAGAAACGGCATCTGGCTCAGGCTTGCTCCCTGACAGGTCCTCCACAGACGTGCCGCTGCCCTCAGCCCCCACGCCACAGCCCCGGGGCCCCATGGCGCTGGAGCGCCGCCGCTCGTGGATCTCATCCGAGATCATCTCCAGGTTCTTCAGGGCCGTCTTGTACTCGCCTTTCGCCAGGGCCAGTTTGGCCTGCAGGTCATCCACAGTCTTCTTCAGTTGCTGGTCAGGAGAACAAGAGGCTGGTAAGTGGAGGCAACCCCTACTGGCCTTGCAAGGCTTTTGAATGACAAGTCCAAGCACAGTTTCTGCCCATCACTCCACTCCAAAGACTTCCCCAAGACATGACCGATGGCCTGATTGCTCTTATCCAGCTATCCACACACCAGATAAAAAAAAGCAGCCACCACCAGCCCCAACTCCCATCCAGGTGACAAACTCAAGCTAACAACCAGAAACTACCACTGGCAGAATAAACCCCATCAGAGAAACAAGAACGGGTGGTCAAACTCACAAACTTTCCCACTTTCTAGCCATTTGGTCCCTTGTACTGTGGTTCTCAAACATGACCGTGCATCAGAATCCCCTGGAGGCCTCTTGAAAACAGATGGCTGGGCTCGCACCTGCAGTTTCTAATTCAGTAGATCGGGGGCGGGGGGGGGGGGCTTGGGAATCTGCACTTCCTATACGATGCTGATGCTGGTCTTAGGAACCCCCGAGAACCACTGCCCCAGTACAGCACAGAAAGGGGCTGAACTTTCTGTACTGCAGAGACCACTGAAGACCCCACCAAGACAATTTTGAGGCCTGAAAACTCAGTGAAGAATGTGTTTCTCTCTCCATTCTATTCTTGTACAAATATGCCATGTGCAAGCCCGCTACCACATAAAGTGGGACTTTGCAGAAAAATCCCACCAACAGCAAAGCCACAGAAGGCCACACGTACCTCAAGCTGCACGTAGTACTTTGCCTTGAGTTCAAAATAAGGCCTATGGGAGACACAAGGAAAAACGGTAAGGGTGATCGAATACAATGACCCCAATGGACACCACAGGGCGTACCAGGGGCACAAGCTATGGCTGGCAGGCCATCCGTCCAGGAGGCAGTAAAGTCTGACAAGGCCATGAGATGAAGCGGATACCCGCAGCTCTGGAGCCTGATGGATACCGGGGCCAGTCAGAGCTGAGCTGACAAAGGGCAGCCCATCTCAAGATCTGCAGAACCCACACACGTGAACACTTATTCCGGTGTCCTTGTACCCTGGTTCACTTTCCTCTCTAGGAGGCTGTTCAAGGCCACCAGCCAAGGCAGCCCGGATCCCCTTCTCCCAAGGAGGAGATCGGCTCCCTCAAGAATGAAGAACAGAGGAGGCTGGAGAAGGGGCTGCCTCCAGACACACCCTCCTCTGCTGAGGTCACCTGGGGAAGGGCGAAGCACCATTCCTCCCTCACCGAAAGGATGGGGGCTCAGAATCCTCGTGGATTCTGTCCAGGACCACAGCTATCAGTCTGCAGACCCAGCCAGGTCATGGGCAAGAGAGAGGACAAATGCCAACATTGTACTGGTCCCCGCGTTCTGGGTCAGTCAAAAGCCCCTGGCTCTTTTTAAGGAACTTTGGTGTCGAGCATTAAGAATAGACCAGTGCTTCCTTCTTGGGCTGTTCGCTCCCTGTGAAGCTCTTCGAAAGCTCGGAGGCCCAGCAACCGTGAATGAAGCAGGGGGCTTGTCCCCAAGATCATTACTGTGTAAAAATATATACCAGTCATGAGAAAAGCTTGCAAAAACCTCCATTAAAACCAGTCTTGCACCATTTCATCGGCTCTTGGTCCACAGAGAACGTGTACTGTGCACACAGCTCATCCCCGTTATGCTGACCACTAAGCTGAAGGACACGGCTCGTCCTTCCTGTCCACCGTGGACACCGTGGACACCGTGGACACGGCCTGTCCACCACAGAGCCAAGGGCACAGAGTTTCCCAAAGCCCAGCCCCAGGCCCCAGCCAATGAGCCAAGCTGATGGTGTGCTTTTGAAATTCCTTTTTCTGTGTCTCCCAGGTCGGGCACAGCTGGAGCCACCCTTCCTGCATCTGGGGGTTATACAAAACGTGGGGGCCTCTGAGGAGGCGGGTCCCTGAGCACATGGCACATAAGGGGTGGAGCAGATGCCCCAGAGGGGGACCATCACACAGGGCGCTGGGGGCCCACATGCCCAGACTCACTTGGACTTGCTGATGGCTCTCTTGAGTTTCTTCTCCAGCTGCCGCATGCGGCCCATGGCCGCGGTGTACCCAGCCGCTGTCTCCTTGTGCACCAGCTCGCTCCTCGTCTTGGTCTGCTCCGCCTCCATGACCTTCAAACAACAGCACACGTCAGCCTGGCCGGACAGTCCCTTGCTGGGGTATTTCTTTTTTTCTTTCTTTTCTTTTTTTTTTTTAAAGATTATTTATTTGAGAGAGAGAATGAGAAAGAGCACAAGACAGGGGAGAGTCAGAGGGAGAAGCAGACTCCCCACCGAGCAGGGAGCCCGATGTGGGACTCGATCCCGGGACTCCAGGATCATGACCCGAGCCGAAGGCAGTCGCTTAACCGACTGAGCCGCCCAGGTACCCTGGGGTATTTCTTATATCACTTTTAAAAATACTCTTTGTGGGGCACCTGGGTGGCTCAGTCATTAAGCATCTGCCTTCGGCTCAGGTCATGGTCCCAAGGTCCTGGGATCGAGCCCCGCCTTGGGCTCCCTGCTCCACAGGAAGCCTGCTTCTCCCTCTCCCACTCCCCCTGCTAGTGTTCCCTCTCTCACTGTGTCAGTCAAACAAATAAATAAGATCTTAAAAAAAAAAATACTCTTTGAGAAAATCAGTGGACAGACTAAGATTAGACTAAATTCCAACTAGAAAAGGAGCGCTTTTCTCTGTTAAGCTGTTTTGGAAAAGTCTCGTCAGGTGAGAGGAAACCGCCAAGCCTCCCGTGGCGATGCCTGGGAAGGAAAACAAGGAAAAGCAAAAATCAGAGAAAATTAAACATTCTCTGATTCCAATTGATGTCCACTTCCTTCTGCTCAGGCCTCCTGGCACAAAGTAGCCACTATGGGCTCCCTGGCTCCTGACTTGGCACAGGGGCTGATGGGCACGTAAATGGGCCAACAGCACCAGCAGGGACATCGAGGAATGGGGAGACCTAGTTAGCACAACCAGGCCTGACTGCATCGGAAGGGCAAGGCAATCCCCATGTCAGCTTGTTGGCCTTTTCCCAAATACCCTGCATTAGCCAGGGGGACACAAAAGAATCCAGGATCCAGAAGGGCAAACTTTCCATTTAAACACATGAATATCAAGTCATTCGGATCAGATTCTGAGGTTCACAGACATGAGTGACCAGGAGGCCCGTCAGCGTTCTGGAAGGAAATTCTGGTGGGCACATTTTGTTGAGCCTGTTGATAAAAATGAGTTTAATAACCAACAATCAGGGGCCATCGATGGGGCAGCTGAAAGGTGCGTTCCCTGACACATGGAAATCATGGTCCTTTCGTCCCTCATGTAAAGAAAGTAGCAGAACAAGGCCTGCATCGAGGAGAGAGGAGGAAGGAGACAAACGACAGTTTGGGCCACGTAACCAGCTCACCAGTTCTTTCCCGTCTTCTAGTGACAGCTCACTCGTGTGGTAACTCGTGTTACCAGATGAACTGGAGAGGCAGGGGCGAGGCCGGGCTAGCACCAGGGAGGAGCCCTGAGGGTCCCCAGCTCAGGGGTCACTCCCTCAGATGCCAACAGGAGGCACTGCCATGCCTTTAGCTTGGGGCAGCTGATGCCTTTCCCTTCCCTCCAGTCAATAGCCAGTTGGCCCTGCGAGAGCTTATTTATGCACTTACTTGTAAGAAGGATTTTTTTTTTTTTTTTAAGTGTCAGGGAAAATGGTGAAAGACTCAAATGAGCATCAAAACCTGCTGGGTGTCCTGGCTAGTGTGCCCTTTCTGGTCATCTTGGGCTTTCACTGTCTTGGAGCCGTTTTACAAGCCTGTATGTGTTAGAACACAAGCAGTACTGCAGATGATGATTCTTCTAGAAGTGACGAGGAACTGCACCCCAGCGGAGAGGGGTTCCGTGAGTGACTGCCCTGTAAACACTGACCGGTTCTACAGGCTTGCAAATTCATGTCCGCATTCCTCATTCTCTGCTTTAACTCTCCTTTAAAATAATTACATCTTACTAGTCTCCTCCTTAACTAGGGAGTTAAATATATAAATATAAAACATTCCAAATGTTATTTACATCAGTTATGCTTTTACCTTTTTAAGAATATATATATCTCAGCAAAGGCTTCAATGCCTGGCAATGCCAGCATTGTACTGGTCCCCCCCCCAACAGAATTAAAACCGTGTCACAGAAGGGAAGTATGACAGAACGGATCTAAGCCGATGTAAGGTGACGTGCTTGCTGAAGTGACTTCTCGGCCAAGCCCAAGGGGCTAAGAAACCCTCTCCCTCTGCTTCAAACACAGAAGATTTCACAATTTTGAAATGAAGTATACAAAAACCATCCCATACTTGGACACTTAGGGAAACAGCAGTAACTCTTCAGTTGTGTCTTAAATCTTAAGCATTAAGGATTTGCTGGCGTGACCTTCCTGAAAACTCAAAAGCCCAAGTTTATGGGACTGATGAAAGCTGCCTATTGGTGAACTGTTGCATTACGATCGGATGTGACACAGGGCTCCTCTTTAAGGAGTGGTGTGAAAGCATTTTAAATAGACCGGTTCATAAAAAGCTGTGATTCGTGACTACAGAACAGGAAGAGTCCCCACAAGAAGCAGGATCCACACCAGCTGCACACAGGCCCTCGTCTATCTCAGCCCCTAGTCTGCAGAAAGAAGCCAAGTCTGTCTGAAATTAACACTCAGGAAGCTCCAAGCACTTGGCAATCTTGCCAGTGAAGACCCAGGAGGCGGCGGCGCACCTGTCATTGTCCCCTGCTTCACCCCTATCAGGCCACGTTGGCCATCTCCCATCTCAATCTGCACTCCCACATACACACAACTCCCAGCTCTTGGAAAAGAAACCCCCTCCTCAACCCCCAATCCCTCTTTCCTCCTGCAGGGAGAAAGTCACTGAGCCTGCCACCGTGGTTGCATGGTAACCAGGGAGCACCCCCATCTGAAGCCCAGCATCAGGCACAAGCAGTAGTGGGGAAAGGGAGAGCAGGGAGGGCAGGGCAGCCCAGGAAGGCTGAAGCCACAAAGAACACCGGTAAGCCACAGAAGAAAGCAACAAGGAAGTCCCTTTAGTGCCTCAAGGTAGCCACAGGCTGGGCTGAGCAGCCAAACCGGCAGGAGCAACTCAGAACTGGATACACACTGCCATCACCCTGGGCCTCCCAGGGCCACCCTTGCCCTCCTCCAGGCCTGGCTTGATCGCTGTCTGGTCCAGACTCCAATCTCTGCAATGGGCTTTTCTTTGTCCCCACCATCATCGTCACCCACAGTGAGCACCTGCGGTGTGCACAGGGCACCCTGGTGATGCCCCCAGGCACAGAGGTAGCCAGCATCTGTGGTCGCCACTCAAGGCGGCATGGGGTTGGGGCTGTCGGGAGGGCTTGACAGTAGAGGTGGCACATGGGCGGGCTCTTCAGGGTGGGCAGCCGGAGTAACGGACATGAAGGGAGGAAGCACGGCTGGGCTGAAAGGGGCTTTATCAGCAGAGGCTGCAGCCCTTCCCTGCCTCCGTGCGTCCCAGAGCCCCATCTGCCACCCTTGGTGGGATGAGCGTGCAGGACTCAACAAAGGAAGACCAGCAGGGCTCAGCTTCCCGCCTCCTTCCCTGGAGCTAGAGGGCTCCCAAAGGAGATGACCACGTCCAACAGGAACAGAGTCCTGGACTCCGTCAGGATGGCTGAGAACCTTCTCCCCAGAGAGGGCCCTGTCCTGGAGCTGACCTCCCGGCCGGGGCCCAATGGCAAGGTTTGAGGCCTGCCTGACCTGAGCAGCCAGCAGCAGCACCGGAGGGGTCGGCTGCAGGATAGCCGTGGCACTGAGCCCAGGCCGGCAAGTGGGCAGTGGGCCCTGGAGGAGGCACATGCAGGCCAGCAGCAGCCTGTACTCAGGATCCGGGGAAAGACACAGGTCTCTGCCCCTCCTCCTGGGTCAGCAGGACAGAGAGAAATGTGGGTCTAGGAGTGCCAGCCCGGCCACCTCCTGAAAGCCCAGGGGACCCTGCTCTCAGCAGCATACAGTAGATGCCCCAACAGTGGGGCTGTCCTGCCTGGATATGCGCAGGCACTGAAGGGGCGTGCCGGCTGGGCTGGCACAACCTCCTGGCCGGGCCCCAGGCCAGCAGAATCACCGGCACTGGCCAGAACACATCCACCCGGCATGGCTCCTTGCAGCCTTGGGTTCCAGCTTTCCCAACTCCTCTGCAAACCCCGAGGCATTCCCCGCTTGCTCCACCATCCTCAATGTCCCAGAGCCGAGATCGGGGCCCTCCTGTCCCCAGGGAAGGCGGTTTCATGGTCTCCTCAGAACCTCAGTCACTGGCTCAGGCTGTTTTCAGAGTCTGCTGCACCTGGGCGAGGGGGCCCCCGGAGGTGGTTTCTCACCACCATGCGGGAGGCAGGTGGCACATAGCCAGCAGTGTCAGGGAAGCTGGCCTCGGCAGCAGGCCTTGGATCCCCACACCCAGGACGAGAGGCTGGCTCTGTGCCCTTTCCTCTCCAGAGGCCGCCTGCTGCCTGTTCGTGAACAGGTAACGCCTCCCCATTTCCAAGTCCCAGTTCCTTCCTTCTCCCTCTGCTCTCCTTCAGCAGGTATCAGAAGAGCCGATTCCTCTCCCCTCAGATGCCACGTCTCCTCTCCCAACTGATGAAAAGCGATCACCTTCCCACAAAGGCTGCTTCAAGGCCAAAATGGCCAAGGCTGGAGGGGCCTCTGCTGCCCAAGCCCCCAAGCAGTGAGTAGCAGGGACCCCAGGCCCTGTGTCCCCTGGAGGCCACTCAAGTGCAAGCTCAGCCTGCTCCGCCACTCTGCCTCACGTACTGTGGCTTCTAAGGCCCTCCTTGACCCCAGCACCGAGTGGAGAACTGTCCCTTTGTCCCTGTCTGTGGCATTACATGTGGCCTGACAGAGGACACTGGGACTCCTGGCATTGCTTTCGGTTTCCCTGAATGCTGGCGTCAGCCATGGATTTAGGGTGTGGCTGCCCAACGTCCCCATAAGAAGCCTGAAGGGAACAAAGGGGACACACCAACAGCCTTGGACAAGGAACAAGGGTACTCACTGCAGTATTCCTCAACCGTCCCCGGGGGGGGAGGGGGCGTGGGGGAGGGAATCACGCAGCCCAAACCACTGCTGCTTCCTTAAGACAGCCTGGACTTTCCTGAGCTCTGGGTCTCTGACCAGATCATTAAGTGGTGCTTTTTATGGAAGAAGAGGGTGAGATGAAGCTAGCTCCCTTCTGAGGAAACGTGCTTCCTGGAGTATCCAGTTGTCAGACAAGGCAGGAGAGAGAGTCTGTACCCCTCCTTGTCTTCATCAACCAGCACTCAGCTGGCTGAGTGTGCCAGCCCCATGAGGTGTGGGGAGCAGGCAACACGAGCCCCATTTGGGGAAATGCTAAATCCAGAGGGAGATCCACAGCCAAGCCCAAAAGGAGGGTCTGTACCATCCATCAGATTCAGTGCGCCCCCTTCTGGGCTAAGTTTCTCAATAATGCCGGGACAAGGCTGGGGAAGGCTCTGCCACCAGCTCTGTCTCCTGCTGGTGTCTGTTTCCAACTTTGCTTCTCCCTCAGCAGTTCAAACCTATGCAACCATGCAGGAATGTGGGGAAGAGAACAGGAGCCCCAGGGTGGAAATCCTGGCCTGTGACCCAGAACACGTGGTTATGCCCACGACCAAGAAACCTCCTGTGACCTCAGTGAGGGCACACATCAGAAGACCCTCCCCAGGCCCTTAGGAGCCCATGTGATCTCAGGAGGCCCAGAGCCATCTTGCACAGCCCCACAAGGTGTGCACTGCACCACCCCAAAAAGCATCTCTCTCAAAGAGGATGGTATGAATGGTGTTCCTAGGAGTTGTACAGTGTGGAGGTCCTGGGGACAACCTCTTCTTGACCAATCACTCACCAGCCACACTAGGGCCCTGGAACTTACAAAATAGGTTAAAAAAAGGCATAGACATGTTTTGTTCTTTTTTAAAGAATAGATTAGGGGAGCCTGGGTGTTAAGGTGTTAAGCGTCTGCCTTCAGCTGGGGTCATGATCCCGGGGTCCTTGGATGGAGCCCCGCCATCAGGCTCCCTGCTCAGTGGGGAGCCTGCTTCTCCCTCTGCCCCTCCCCCTGCTCGTGCTTTCTCTTTCTCTAATAAACTAATCTTTAAAAAAAAGAATAAAGAGTTTCTGAAATGATTTCTTAAGGCTGATTTAGATCTCCAGTTGTGGCGGAGGGAGGACAAAAAGGAAGAGCAGGACTTTACTTAATTTCTTGGAAGGATGTACTTTTTTTGGCGGCGGAGGGGGTCCTTTCCACATCTGTCAAACTGTGGCTTGTAAATTTCCAGCTTCTACTTTGGTTTTTTACTGGCTGACCCAGAAAAGCTATTCCAGCCCATGTTTGACTCTCTGAGCATCACGTCCACTAGGGGGCAGGAGGCCCAAAGCCACACAGAGCCAGGCCACGTATCTCAGGCTTCAGGGGAAGGTGGTACAAAGATTTGACTTCAGTCATTTGTGTGTCAGGCTTTCTATTTAGGGAAGCATAGGCCATCTTTAATTATCAGATCCCCTAGGACTTGAGCCACTGTGGCAGGTGACACTGAAAAGGGAGAGGCTGCTGGCATTAACTCCTGACTTTTCTATTCTAGCGCCACAGGTGGCAAGACCCGGGGGGTTGCAAACCCTCCATCTAAGGCCTTCGTTGGAGCTGCCGAAGCCACGTGTCAGCTCTCCCAATCACCCTGCAGCAAATCAGCCCGCAGAAGGGGATAGGTATCAAGAATATTCTGTGTGACTCCTAGAACCCAGTGGAGTTAGGTGGAGGTAACAACTCCAGCTGAGCCAAGCAGCTGTCTTGATTCTGAACAATGTGGTCAGAGAGCAGGTCATGGGAGCTGGTAAAAAGCCAAACAATAATGGCACAAAACCTAGGAGTCAAATCGGGGTAAAGATCATACACGGCCCACTTCCCGTTCCCATGCTGGCTACTTGAATCCCAGCCCAGCCCGAAGGCCAGACTTGAGTGCCCACTGGATTCTGGTCTCATCTATCTTGGCCCCTACCCTTCCACTAACAGCACACTTTCCCTGAGTCCAGGACCCACATGGTTTGGGGTTGTTAAGGTCTTCCATCTGGGACTCTAAACTCAGCCATTCTGCCTGGAACTCAGTGGGAACAGGCACTGGAAAATAACCTGATCCCTCTGGGAAGCCCAATCCACAGTCAAGACCTTCAGGGATGATCTGAACCAGACAAACCTCAAATGGGGTTTGAGGGGGACTATCACTCTGAGTACGGCTTAGTACCAGGCCAGCAGAGACTACATGGAGAGACAACCCGTGACATTCAGCGAGCGTTTCTGGGCAACAAGCCTGGAAGTCTGTCTCCTCTGCTTGGGGACGGCACCCAGAGCTCATCAGGACCAGGAGGGTAGTCTGGATCACATGGGCAAGGGGAAGTGTGAAGGATGCTCCCACACCCCACCCACAAGGGGGAGGCCCCCAGTGTCGATGCCCACACACGCGCAGACACCTGCAGACACAGAGGCATACTCGAGACCCAGGCACACTGCCCCCCTCACAGGCCCGCCCGGCAGTGATTCATACCCTCTGGGTGGCGTGATTCAGCATCTCCTGCCAGGCTGAGTCGAACTGCCGCTTGTCATCCTCCAGCAGCCGCTGCTCAGCCAGAGAGATGGTTTCCTTGGCGGCACGGAGCACCTCCGTGGCCCTCTGAAAGTCCTGCGTGGCTTTCTGAGCTTCCAGCTGAGCCTGTGCAAGAAAGAACCCTGGTGAGGCCTCAGGAAATGACAGAGGCCCCCTCTGGGCCCATCACACCCTCCAAAAGATGAGCTTCCTGAGGGCGGGGACCTGCCCATTCCATCTCTGCCTTTCCAAGTGGGAACAGGCCTGGTACCTGCAGGGCCTTGTAAATGCTGGACAAGGGGACACACGCCAGGTAGGCGAGTAGATAATTTTCACAGTCCTGGACCCAAGAGCCCAGATAAATATACCAGTTTTTGTTTTTTTTTTAAAAGATTTTATTTATTTATTTGAGAGGGAGAGAATGAGAGATAGCACGAGAGGGAAGAGGGTCAGAGGGAGAAGCAGACTCCCCGCTGAGCAGGGAGCCTGATGCGGGACTCGATCCCGGGACTCCAGGATCACGACCTGAGCCGAAGGCAGTCGCTTAACCAACTGAGCCACCCAGGCGCCCAAATATACCAGCTCTTGGTCAGAGCTGGAGACGGCAAGCCGCAGCTATGGCCACCCGTGGCCTTTCACAGAGCTCTAATTTGCTAATGAGGCCATGGTGGACAGATACAGTGGTCCCCAATGCCGTCCCTGCCTGGATCCATGGCTCAGTGCAAGCATGTCAGAACCAGAAGGGCCCCCGGAGATCAGTCCAATGGCTTCATTCTACAAGTGGCTCTGAGGGACCCAGCCAGGCCACACAGAGCTGGTGAGAAGCCAAGCTGTGACCGGACACCAGGCGCTGCAAGTCCCACTAAGCGTGCTATCACTCTGCCAGCCAGGCCCTTGCCCAATTCACACTCACCAACAGCGATGGGGAAAGACTGAACAGTCATGACACAGCCCCCGCATTCGAGGAATGTCAAGTGGGAGAAGGCACAGAAATCAAAGCAGACCATACGTTAGACTGCCACCAGTCGCGTGTGGCTAGCAAGCATTGGAAAGGTCCTTAATCCACACTGAGTGTAGAGCACCCCAGATTTTAAAGACTTAGTAGAACTGTTAACAATCTCAATTTTCATAACATTACATGAGGAAATGATAGGATTTTGGATGTACTTGGTTAAAGAGACCATCTTATTAAAATTAATTTCACCTGTGTCTTTTGACTTTTTTTTTTTTTTTTTTTTTTTTTTTTTACTGTAACTACCAGAAAATTTAAAATGACATAGCTGGCTCACATTCTACTTCTTTTGGACAGTAAACACATCTCCCCCAAGAGTGGCCCATGAGATTGCATCAGGAATCCGCAACAAAACCCTCCGGCCCCCACTCTGAACTTCCCAGCAGAGCACAGCGCTGGCCCGCTACATCATCCCACCCACCCACCCTCGGTCAACCAGAGCAGTTACACAGCCCCGGGGACATTCACGGGGTAGCCCCTGGGACTCAGGAGAGAGGGGAACAACAGGAGCCCCACCCAGCCCGAGTAGGTCTCACATGACTTACAGGAAGTCTTGGAGAACCACAAGACAAAGACGGTTAAGGGAAACAAAACAGACTCGGAACACACCAGCCCCCAAGGCAAGGAACAGCATGGGTGCCACTCTCCACCCTCGGGAACAGCGGACACATGCTGTGTCCAACCCTCGGGGAGGACGATCTGCTCAGGGAACAGACACAGGCATGGAGAGGACATCCAGAGTCTGTCCCACAGAGCTGTGCCCCAGAGCGCCGTAGGAGAGAGGGAGATACAGACAGTAGGAGGGTGTGCAGGACAGATTATTTCCAGGAGAGGGAATCCAGGGCTACTTCTGAAAAGAGGATGATCCGGAACGGAGGACTGAAGGACAAGATGACCTGAAAAATGCAGGGCTGGTGGGGGGCCAGGAGGAAGCAGCCTCGAGAACCGCAGTATCTGCAGGAGACCTTGACAAAGACGAGGATCAAAGTTTCCAAAAAGATAGAGGATGAGCACTGAGTAATGCATGGAATTGTTGAATCTTTATATTGTACACATGAAACTAAAATAACACTGTAGGTTAACTACACTAGAATTAAAAATAGAATAAAATAAAAAATAAAAATATGTATATTGCCATAAAAAAAAAGAATCAAGAGTGGGGGCTGAATGAACACCAGGCTAATGCTTCAACCAGCAGCCCAAGGGCCTGCCTGCCTGCAGTGGACCGCTCTGTGGCCCCGGGCCACACGGCCATGCAAATGCACCTCCATGACACAGGGCCTGGCCCTACAGAACTGCCAACCCACCGCGTGGTAACAAGACAGCACGACATGCCGCTCCAGCCCCCAGGCCTCCAGGCCAGCCTGTGGATGTCCCGTACGAGGACAGCCCAAGTGGGGCCCTCCATCTGCCCAGCTGCACTCCCCGTGGCAAGGGGGGTGGCAATGGCACTTGTCGCTTCTAAGCTGCCCCCCACCTGCCCCACAGACCACTTACCAGCTTCGAACCGACACCAGCAGACAATAAACAATTAATCCCACAGGATTCTAACGTTTCCCAAGGTGGGGTGTGTATTTATGTTTTTTAGAAAATTTTAGTATTTCAATTCAGCAACATTTAAGGGTAAACTCTCTACCCCCAGGTCTCCCCACTTGAATTAGGAAGCTTTTCTTTCTTCATACGAAAGAAAGAGCTGAGATGTGGTTGCTCTACCACAGACCCAGCACCTTTTCGCCTGCTACCTCTGTCTGATGAGTTCATATAAGGAAGCCAGAGATCTCTACAAAGAGGGGGGTAAAGGAAGCCAATCTGAAGGGGCCTTTAGAAGAACATGCTCTCTGTCAGGTCTGTTGAGTTTCTGAATTTTCCACGAGGCTCCTTCACTCCTGTATGGTAGTATCAGAAAGGTGCCTGCCTTGTCATATCAAAGATATAATATGAGGCTTTGGTCAATCTTTGACCCACAGAAACCAGATGGCATCTCTCCATCACTTGCCCACCTACTCATTCATTCAAGTAAGTGTTGGGGGGCTCTTCAGCACTACTGTCTGTTCTCTTCATCTTTCCTGGGAAGAGAGCCTGTATGTTTCAGGGTGAGGCAATGTGCGAGCTAAAGACCCTACTTCCCAGCTGTGAAGATAGCTAGTGCCCTTCTAACTTCCAGCTAATGAGATATAAGTGGACATTGAGTAAGCCTTCCAAGAGGACTCCTTTGTCTTTCCATCTGTGATATTAACACAATGGCTGGTGCTTCAACAGCCATTTTGGGTCATGAGGCAACCCTCCTAAGGATAGAGGAAAAGTAAGTTAGGATTGTCTACCTCTGGAATTTTTAAATGACAGAAAAAATAAAGGCTCACGTTTAAGCCAGTTTTCTGTTAAATTCAGCCAAATTAAACCTAAATGATAATACATCTTCCCCTCTCTACAGCTGAACTATTCTACAAACCTGACAGAAGTGACTACAGCAACTAGCATAGACTGGTCGAATCTCCCTCAACTTTTTTTTTTTTTTTTTTTTAAGATTTTATTTATTTGACAGAGAGAGCGCAGGAAAGGGAACACAAGCAGGGGAAGTGGGAGGGGGAAAGCAGGCCTCCTGCCGAGCAGGGAGCCCAACGAGGGGCCCAATCCCAGGACCCCGGGATCATGACCCAAGCCGAAGGCAGATACCCTAAAACTGAGCCACCCAGGCGCCCTGAATCTCCCTCAACTTCTTTCTGGCTGCTCCCAGCCCGTTTTACTACTAATAAACCTGAGGAACCAACCTTTTGGAGATTCCTAAATAATCCCAGAGCTCATGGCCTCTTTGTAAGGCATTTCATCAAACATTTTCTAAAACCTGGTCCCTCACAAGGAAGGACCAGGCTGGTGTACACACAGGGGAGGGAGCATTCTATTGTACCCTTGCTCCAGGAACCTCCTGGAGACTAATCTCTGGAGGGGAGGGGCCCACCCCAAAATTAGGGGTTCCAATTCAGTCGGGAGAATAGACATGTTCGATACGAGATAGATTCTGACTGCAACAGAGGTGTAAAGTGCTGTGGGACTGTAGGGAAGAGAGAATGATTTGTCAAAGTTTTCCCAGGGAAGACCTGGCAAAGGAGAGGGTGTCAGCACCATGCTAGGTCATGGAAACACAGGAGGCATCCGTGAGTTTACACACACATCTAACTGCGGAGGGTTAACTCCGAGATTGCTTCCCAGTGTCATAATGGGACACGTGACCCCAAAATCAGAAGCTGAGTTAGCAATTCCAACAGGGGCTGGCTAGCCGGGTCTCACTGGTGTATGAAGGAGGACACCCAGAAATCTTGGGCACAACCAATGCCAACAAGTTTTACCCCCAAACTCTAAAAAAGGACCCAAGCCCTAGTATTAATATATTACTCCCGGTGTGCACAAATCAGGCAGAGAAACCCAGTTAGCAAACTGAAGGGCTGAGGGTCTGCTTAGAAGAGTATTGACGAGGTAAATGTTGGGGGAGCTGGGTTTTAGCTCTAAGATGCAACACAGGAAAACTTCGAACATCTTCATGACTCATGGATACTAACGACTTTCATGGAAACAGCTCTCTGGAAAGAATTTTAAAAGGCTGTTCATGAATGAATTTGCTAAGTGACTTTCATTAGACTCTGGCCTGCGGCCAGCTGTGACTATGAAGGCCTCACACGTGTGAGTGTTCCACAGTGTCATCAACGAGGGGAGGGGGGAACGGAGTGGAGAGGTCCACCATTGTCGAGGCTGCCAGAAGGGAGAGGCCGCAACCCCGGCTGTCCACTAGACTTCCGGCCCAGCCCATGTTTGGGCTCAGGAAGGAAGAGTATCTGGACATTTGCACTGGTTGCAACAAAGGGTCGGGGTAAAAGGAACTTTCCAGACCAACCAGTTCAAGGCCTTCATTTTTCAAAAGGTGACGCAGAAACACAAGACAACTTGCTGAATGTCACCCAGCTACTTAGTGCCTGGCCACAGCCAGGAAACCAGAGCCGCTGACCCCTAAACGTGGCTATTTCTGCTCTACCTCTAATATGAGGCTTCAGTCTACCCCTGACCCATGGAAACCGGATGGTATCTCTCCATCACTTACCACCACTCTACCTCCAACCTGCAT